CTCTAGTATGCTTATAAACTTTCTATAACTTAGAAAGTACTTTCCCAATCAGGGAAGTATGAGACCCATACCAATACTGCATGGTAGAAAGGATGAAATTATTTGCTTTTTACACATAAAAGGAAAAGACTTCAAATTGTTTTGCCCATGTCAGATAAGAAGTATTTACACAAGATGAACAATGTTTTTATCATTTCACAATAGCTCCTCTGTGGCTATTAATTGTTTTTTAATGGACCACTTTTATTTTTTGCATGAAAAATGCAATAGTGAAAGTCCATTGACTATAATTTAGCACAAAATGTAGCAACTGGCTTTCTGTTGTTATTAGATTTCTGCTGAAGAAGACAAATAAATGTATTCACTTACGTTTTCCAGTCCTTCTTGTTTGCAACTCTTAGAGCACTTTCACAGTGAGCCTCAAAGACCCTATCTCCTTTTTCCTACAAACTGGTAGTTACAGACTAGTCAAAGGGATGTACATTATAGCATAGGGAACAGTCAATAACATTATAATAACCGTGTATGGTGCCAAGTGAGTACTTGAAACATTGCGGAGACCACTCTGTAAAGTACATGATTTTCTAACCACTATCTGTACATGGGAAACTAATACAGAACAATATTGGATGTAAACTATAATTGAAAAAGTATATGTATATATATCTTTATATATGAATATATATCTTTATATATAATATATTATACATAATAAGTAATATATATATGTATATATATAAATATAAATATATTAGGCACCCATTAGGCACCCATCATTATGGTGATTTTATAGGTAACGTCTATTTTAAGGTAACGTCTGGTTCAGGAAAGTGAGCTTTTTCCGGGGTTCCTCAGTGATTCATTGTTTTTCCCTCCTCCTATTCTTAACATACAAGTTCACACATTTGCTAAAAGCTCTAATGATGTTTCACCATGATTATAAAGCAGAAGTATGTCAGGGGTGTTGTAAGGGGAGAGGCAAATCTCTACCTATGGGCTATTTATAAGTCAGGAGATTACAAATCAAGGTCTCTCTTCCCTTAAAATACTTACTGTAGTATAACTAAGTGAGGAAGAAGAAAGGTTATATTTCTACCAATGGTCTCTAAATATTTATGTCAATTTCTCTTAGAGCTTTGAACTTCACTCTTCAAATTCAATACAGTGGAAAATGCCGAAAACCCTTGAATCTGCTCGTTTGAATTGAGCATTGTCTTTCCTTCAAAAAGTGGAATTCATATTACCTTATTTTTTTAAAATTAATAAATCTTACCTTATGGAAAGCTCCTCTTTAACTCAAGATATATTTAATGAGCTGCACCAGAACTGTTTGTTTCTAGAAATACAGAGCTGAATAGGAAGTGACTCCTAACTTCAAGCCACTCAGTCTGATAGGCTAATTGGACAATTCATTCATTTATTCAGTAACTAGTCTTTAAGTTTTCATGAGACTGGGAGACTTAGCTGGACTCTGGGTCTTCAGTGGTAATCAAAACAGGTCTAGGCCCTTGTGCAGTTTACAGTCCAGTGAGGGATCAAGAAAATGAATGACTATTAAACACAATGATAAAATGCGAAAAAGAGAAAATCCATGACACACAGGAGCTGACCTTGACATTGCTACAGGTTGGCCTCCTGCTCACAGCTGGGCCTTGATGTTCTCCTGTTTAACATAATTGCAAAGAACATTAGAATCTGAAAAAGCCACTCTGTAACCAAAGATCATGCCACTCCAAAAGCATGTCTGAAGACAGGGAAAACATGAACATTATCCCACCTACAAAATACCCACCTCCCCCGTCTACTCTAATATGAGTGACTGCTTCTTTACCAATTTCAACTCTAGCCTTGGCTATTGTTCCCTGCTTAAGGTTCTACCTGACTCCCTATCCCCATAGGCATCTTCTCCCTATTGCTGGAAAGTCTTCACTTTCTCAATCCCTACTCCTTTCTGAGGGCAAGCTCAGTCTGGACTCTGGATCTAAAAAACAAAATTTAAAAATCCCAATTATTTTTCCCTTTAGTCTTAAAGAATTTTAGGAGCTCTAGTTCAATCCTCAGGTAATTCAATCCAAGTCAAGTCACTCTTGGTTAAACTTTATGATTTTCAAATAGAGCAGTACTGTTCTCATAAGAGGCACCTAAAGTATGTGGGGACTTGATTTTTGCTCATCACAGTGACTGGAGTGGTACTCCTAGCATTCAGTGGTCTAAGGCCCTGCAATGAACTGGACAGTGTCACACAGTGAAGACTGAACCATTGAAATGCCAGTAGTAGTCCTGCTGAGAAACCCATAGATTGGCAGTATCGATTATATCCCATCCTCCTGCTTCTACCCATGCCATACCAGATACCAGTAATCAATGATAGTATGTACCAGTACACTCTGCTGAGCTAGATGTGGCCTCCAAATCTTAACATAGAAATCCAGGCATGCCTTGGCAATCAGATTTGATAGGGGTGACAAAACCTATTTGCCATTCCTGCCTTTACCTTTTTTTCTTTTTAAGACTAAGGAGGTTTCATGGTTCTTGAGATCAAGTCTTCAACCTGACACTTCAGTCCTCTTCCAGTTTCTATCCCTGTAGCCATGCCTTGTTTGTTATCTGACTGCTGTCCCAGTCCTCCTAAGACAAGGGTACTAGCAGGAATGTGAACTCTGTGGCTGGGACCCTGCACTAGTCCAGCAGGTGGCAGTAAATGCCTGTCTGCCAACATCACCTCTCTGAACAAACGCAGTGAGTGAGCTACACCCTCTAGTGGGGAAACCGCATGCACTGACATCTAAAAGAAAATCCAACTCAAAGTAAATGAAGTTTAAAAAAAAAAAAAGAAAGAAAAAAGAATAAAAGGTGGGGGTGGGAGGAAACTGGTTCCATGGCACCTGTTCCTGAAAAGTCCACAAGATCTCTGAATTTAGGCATGGCTAGATTCAGTTTTAAAAAATGTTTCCAGAAATTTTTTTCCCCCTCCCCCCCCTTTTTTTTAATCCATCCATGTCTTCCTTGATGTTGTCTTCCTTTTCAGATAGACTTTGACCAACCCATCCAACCCCCATCCTTAGGATAAAATTCCTGAATCAGTTGTTATGGCTACAAGCATACTCAACTCGCATTAAAATGAACTGAATTACAAGGCACTGCAGGGGCTAGGGGGCAGTCCCCAATATATGGATTAGATGAGGGTAAAGAATTGTTCTCCAAAAAATATGCAGGCACTACTGCCAGGAGAAATGAATGCAAGTCAAACAAAAATAACAGATGCTGTGGCACTATTTTTTCTAGATGCCATGCTTCCCTCCTCTGGGTTGTACATACAATGGAGTATTACTCAGGCTTAAAAAGAGAGGAAATTCTTCCACATGGTACAATATGAATGAACCTTGAAGACATGATGTTAAGTGAAAGAAGCAAAACAGCAAAGGCAGATATTGTATGATTCCACTTACATGAGATACCTACAGACATAAAGTAGCATGGGAGTAGGGGGTGGAGGTGGGGAGTAGAATGGGAGTTGCCCTTTAGTGGGTACAGAATTTCAATTTGGGAAGATGAAAAAGTTCTGGAGGTGGCCGGTGATGTGGTCGTACAACAACGTAAGTAATACAGGTGGGGCAAGGTAGGTTTACAGTTGCATGGAAAATACTATAATAACAAATAATAATACAAGAATAACCTGTGTGTTTCACATCCTCACAACTGTGATCCTACGTTTGCCCCACCCTGTATACTTAATGCTACTCTTGAGAATGATTAAAGTGGTAAATTTCATGTTTGTTACATTTTTTACCACAATTTGAAAAAAATCATTCATGTGCACTCAAGACTTTTTACTGGTGGAGCGCCCAGCCTTCCTTTTTGATACCTGTGCTAATAAAATCTACATATGTCTAAAAAGAATTAAAAAATAAACAAACGAGGTGCTTTGGTAAATTAAAGATGGCTACACATTCTTTGCCACTCCGTCAGTAAGAGATGAAGCCCTTCCTTCTCCCATGGCTCCAGGCGGGCTCGGTGGCTTCCCTGCCCGGAGATGGGACAGAGCAGGCTCGGGGGCTTCCAGGCTGGACCTCAGCCTGTCCTGTAGCGCGCCCCGCTCCCGAGGGCTTCCTCTAACCCGAGCGCTGGGCTGTGACAAACCCACACGGAGGGCGAGGGCGCCTGCAGGCACCTGGATCCACAGCTGCAGCTGAGCGCCTCCACGCTGCCGGCCTGAGCAGCCAGCACGCAACACCCACTCCGCCGGCAGTCAGCTGCGGTCTCCGCGGACCTCTGCCCGCCCGCGCAGGGGTGAGACTCGGACTGAAACTGCCCAGCGGAGCCAGTCCACCCGCAGAAGCTCGGCAGAACCATAATCCACTGTGTGAAGCCATTACGTTCTGCAGAGGTTGGTTAAATAGGGACCATAACGATGTCCATGTTCACACAGTGGTTCTCAACCTTCTGGCCCTTTCAATACTGTTCCTCATGTTGTGACCCAACCATAAAATTATTTTCGTTGCTACTTCCTAACTGTAATGTTGCTACTGTTATGAATCGTCATGTAAATATCTCATATGCAGGATGGTCTTAGGCGACCCCTGTGAAAGGGTCGTTCCACCGTCAAAGGGGTCGCGACCCACAGGTTGAGAACCGCTGACTGAGGCTTACAGGTCAAGTGCTTGATTGTGGTCTCTGCAGGGAGGGGAGGAACTCTCCCTTGACCCACCTCCGTCCTGCCCTAAATCCTGCGGTGCATGGCCCACTACGGGCTTCCGGTTCTCAGTCCAAACGGCTGGCTGCAACCGCCAGAGCCCTGGGTATGTGCCCAGTGTGGGACTGCAGCCACGGCGACGCTGTCACGTGACAGGAGTGTGTGTCACGTGACAGGGGTGGGGTGTGTGTGTGTGTGTGTGTGTGTGTGTGTCCCCACGCTGGGAGGCCACTCTCAACATGGCTCCGGCGCACTGACGCCCGTGTCCCACACCCAATATGGACGCCGGTGCGCGCCCAGCCCTGGATGACCACATTCCGGAAGTGCCCGAGCGGCGGCGGAAGCGGAAGTACCACGGCGGTGGGGGCCGCGGGAAGCATCGGTCGCAATTTTCCCTCCCTCTCGACCACAATAACAGACGGAGGGCCGGCGTAGGTAGGCGGTGGCCGGGGCCTGCGGCGGGAGGCGGGCCGCGGAGCCGGGCGCGATCGGCTGGATGGGGGCGGCGGGACGGGGGCTCCCGGGCTCCCGACCTCCTGGCTGTCGGTCTCGGCCCCTTTCGGGCCTATCGCTCCCGGGAGGGCAGGGGTTGGGCTTGTGGTTCTCGGCCTCCTAGGCCCTGGTTGTGGGGTTTGCCTCCTTGCTTGAACCTGGCCCAAGAACACGCCCTTTCTTGAACAAAACAGGGGTTGTGGGCCTAGACAAGTAGGGGCACCCCATTTCATTCCGGGCATCACGGGTTCCAGGATGTTAATGTTTAGTCGGTGGTTCAGCCGGGACTAGAAGAAGGCCTGTAGTCGGCGTACGGAGGGGATGCCCCACGAATGAATACATCCTGGCGTGGCGGCCAGCTCGGGGTCCGGAGCCCCCAGGTCTAGTCTTACTTCGTCCACCGACTCACTGTGTGACTTTGCCCAGGTCCACGAGCCTTCCTGTGGCACAGGTTGCTCATCTGTAAAATGAATGTGTTGGATGCCTCTGTTGGCCCTCCTCGCTCAGGAAATCGGATTCCCAGCTCCCTTTCAGAGTCTTCCCTTGAAGACAGACCCGAAAAGCATGTCTTTCCTGCATCCTGCGTAGCCCGGAGGTCACTGATACGAGATGTCTACCGTGTTTCTTTTCAGACTCCAAGCCGGCCAAGGGCACCTGGGCTCTTAGGAAGGGCCCTGTGCTTCCTTCGCCTTGGGGCTCTCTGCCCTGAAGACTGTGTTTTATAAACCAGTACCAGCAGCGTAAAACACACCGGTGTGAAACAGAGGAGACCTTGTTTATGTGTCGTAAAACTCGCTTAACTTAACCGGTTCACTTTGGGCAAATCTCTTCCACTCTGTGGACTTGAGATTTCTCATCTGGCAAAGGAAACTCGCTGGTTCTTAATCCCCTTTCCCATAGTCCCAGCACAACTGAAGAATGAATAATGGTTCCATAAGGCCATGATTTTCTGGGGGGAGGGAAAGGTGGGGTTTGGAGGGTACACATGGAGGCATATAGATTGAAAAATCTGTGCTTGTGATTTTTAACTTCATTTTTGACAGTTACTGGTTTAGGTGATTCGTAAAGCTCTTTCCCTCTCTTTACAATATACAGTGCTGTGAATCATCTGTCCGCTTTAGGTGAAAAATAGAGACTTTCGTGTGTGTTTGTTTAAATTATTGTGTGCCTGGAGGTACACACTTTAGTAAAAAAAAAGATTCTAAGGCATAGAATAGGAGAAAAAGGAAAACCATATTTCGGTAAGGTAAAAGACCTGGATCCTCGATTCATTTAGCAGTGATATTTTCTGACCTTGATGACTTAGGGCAACTCAACTTACCTCTTTGGGCCTCACTTTCTTCATCTGGAAAACGAAGAGTTGGACTGGATGATTCTTGACGCTTTTCTTTACTGCAATCTTGGTTTTTTGTTTGTGCTTTGTTTTTTATCTAAGCAGCTTGGGGGATGTGGTGTGGCATTTCTTTATGAAAGGGAGGCTGTCCTCGGTAGGAGACATTCGAAATCTTTACTGTGAGAAATGGGGCCAAATTAAGTGACATGTAAGATTACTTTGACAGGAGTAAGCTGAAGCCCAGAGGAACTAAAGGAAGGCATTAGAAGCCTGAAGGGCAGAGAAGTCTTTGACCAGATAGATTAGAATAATGAGGACACTGGGAAGTTTTAAATGGGAGAAGGCATTTTTAAAAAAATATATTTTTATTGATTTCAGAGAGGAAGGGAGAAAGAGAGAAACATCAGTGATGAGAGAGAATCATTGATTGGCTGCCTCCTGCATGCCCCACACTGGGGATCGAACCTGTGTCTCGGGCATGTGCCCTTGGCCAGAATCGAACCTGTGACCCTTCAGTCTGCAGGTCAACGCTGCATCCACTGAGCCAAACCAGCTAGGGCTGGGAGAAGGTATTTTTGATGAGAGTAATGAAAAGTAATTTAAGATATAGTAATTGAAATGACTGAGTTGTACAACACTGGTGGTAAAATCTATCTCCACTCTGAGCTTCATGGGGAGAAAGTCTGTCACCCCCTAGCACAGTGATCGCGAACCTTTTGAGCTCGGCGTGTCAGCATTTTGAAAAACCCTAACTTAACTCTGGTGCAGTGTCACATATAGAAATTTTTTGATACTTGCAACCATAGTAAAAGACTTATATTTTTGATATTTATTTTATATATTTAAATGCCATTTAACAAAGAAAAATCAACCAAAAAATTGAGTTCGCATGTCACCTCTGACACGCGTGTCATAGGTTCGCCATCACTGCCCTAGCACTTAGTTGGCAGTAAATAAATAATTGAGTTAAGGGATGGGTCACTTAAGTGATGGATGGATGGATGGATAGATAGTAGCAATCATGAAAAGAAGTTTCTCCAGAGGATTGTTATTAATTAGATATGGGATGAGAAATTAATACAGAATTGTGAACGTTTTGTAAAAGAAGTCCCTTAGTTTTCTGGTTAGTTGTAAGGTGTTTAGTCTCTGCCCTATAAAGTGTGTAGTAAGAGACAAACACATTTCCTGGAGGGTCTGGTGTGATCTGAGGAAGGGAGTAATTAGAATAATTTAGGGATGGAAGAAGATGTTGACAAGATGGAACAGGTATAGGAAGGTTTTTAGTTGTAACATTTAGAGAGTAAAGGAGTAAATTTATGTAGGTCTTTATAGGCATCAGCAGTTGTGGGAATTGTGAAAAAATGTGTTAAAACCCCTATTATGGAAATAGAGGGTTAAAAGGAAAATAACTTGATTTTGTAAGCAAGGAAATGTTGGTGCAAGAAGTGGAGAAAGCCTTGAGGGCTGAGGATTAAAAGACTGGGATAAATTTGGGAGCAATCAAAAGGAATTGAATTAGTAGAGAATAGTGTAGTTTTGCTTGGGATGGGGGGAGCTTTGAACTGGCAGGTTGGGAGAAGAGCATGCATGTCTAAGAGAAATTGTGTTATGGAAGGACCCTAGTTTAAAGAACACTCACAAATAACACTGGCTTACTACTTAGAGTGTACTTGGGCCTCCAAGACAAAAATGGTACTTCCTGTGACTCAGGTCTGCTAAACAGCTACAGAATGACTGTAGGATACCCAGGGCTATTGTAGCTACTGTGTGGGAGCCTAAATTAGATGGAAGGAGAGATGCAGTTCTATCACAGCATCCAGAAGCCCATCTCCAAGCACTGGGGCATATCTCTAGAGCGCAGGGAGGCAGCCAAGGTGCAGAGGACTGACTTGATGATAGGGTATATAGTGTGGGTTGGGGAGTCTGAATCGCAGCCTGAGCTCTGACACTTAATCTATGCCCTTGGGCAAGTGACTTATCCTCTCTGGTACTATTTATCCATCTGAAAATTGAGGATGCCAGTCTCGGGTAGGGACCTCTGGGTGAGCTTTGATGTGTCCCTGAAATTGTATGTATGTGATTCAGCATACATGAGTCTAGGTATGATTTGTTTACTTCTTGGGGAGAAGATGTGCATCTTCATCAGTCTCAGATGTGTTTGTGGCCCAGAAAAAATGAACAACTCTGACTAGGTAGTCTCTGACGGCCCCTTCCACTTTTAACATTTTGGGATTCTATAAAATTGTCAGAATGACATTTCTTTGAGATTTAGACTCTAAGCCCCCAGAACTTGCTAACCCTGGAAATAAGCCCTAGTGCTGCAAACTATAGTCCACATATTTATACTCACGTCTCCTTAACCCTCCCTGACTCCTCTGCAGGCCACCTCCAATGCATCATCTTTATCTATTGCTGATAACTGGAATTTCTCCCCTTCCCTCTTTCCCTTTTAACCTACTGCTGCTTTAGACTTTTCCTACTTCGCTGAGTTTCTCAAGTGGCAAATGGTGATATTTTGGAGATAAGGGTAGGAAGAAACCAAGATATAAAAGGGTAGTCATGGCAATTTTCTCTTCTCACTTGCTTTTATTCCTCATTCCACTGAAATAAGAGTATGTAAGAGAGACTGTGCACGGACAGGAGAGACAACATCATCACTCGGGAATTTGCATGTCTTGCATGGTATTTTCTTCTCATACAGGGATATCAGGCCTCTATTACTCATTGCCTGGGATGAAATGCTTAGCGTGGCCTAGCTGTATTTCACGTAAATGAAGATGAATCAACTTTAATTAAAACAATTTTGGTGTCCATTATAGAGTGAGTGGCGGCAAGGGGAGATCAATGAGTCCTTTAAGGGAAGATAAATTAGTCTTTAATGGGGAAGCTTTTTATGTCCTGAACATTTCCAGGGGCACCTACTTAGACTGGAGAGGACTGATGGACTTCCTGTCTATAGGTCCTGACCTGTTAATCCCCTCTGCAAGTCCTTTCCTCACCAAAGGCTTAGAGTAAGGGGGGCAGACACTATTCTACCCACTGCCAGGTAGGTAGCTTACATGACCAAGTCTTTAATTCTAGGCACGATATGGGAAATATACATATAATCTCACCTAAAGTTTTGTTAATCTTGCTAATTTAGGCCCTTTAGTGTAGAGTTAATGCTTACAGTTGGTTTAAGAGATTTTTGTGGGCTTTCTAGAAGACCTAACATCTATATGATGTGCATAATGTTATATCTAGTGAGTAAATGTTTCTCTGAGTTCCAAACAAGTGAACTTATATAAACTCAATGATATTTAAGATACATTCAATTTGGTTTAAAAAATTCAAATGTAGGTTGTACACTGGGGCTACTAAATCTGACTCACACAAAACCACAGAATTGTCAAATATAAAGGGACAATAAAAGGTGGGATTGTAGATGAGGGGGTAAGTTATGAAGTGGTGTGGATCTGGCTAAGAAGGATTTTTACTTAAAGGATGAAGAGTCAGTATGGTATGAGTGAATAGAATTGTGAAGATTTCTTTAAAAAAAATTTATTGAGTTTTGAGAGAGAGAGAAACCACAGATGTTGCTTCACTTATTTATGCATTCATTGGTTGCTTCTTTTATGTACTCTGACCCAGAATCTCCACAACCTGGCTTGTAGGGATGATGCTCTAACCCAGCGGTCACCAACCTTTCGGACCTCACACACCACCAGTGGTCCACGGACCTTTGGCTGGCGACCGCTGCTCTAACCAACTGAGCTCCCTGGCCAGCGCAGAGTTGTGAAGATTCTTTTAAAGGTGAAACGTTAAAATATGATAGCTAGAGAATTAACCCATGGTTGGATTACTCTGTACTCGTTAATAGTCTTGTCGAGTCATTTACGTGCTGCAGGGTAGCTGTGATGTGTCCTTATTGGAGTAACATCTGATTACATTTTTGCAGGGTTATAGGCTTGCTGCTGAGGTCATTGAGTGCCATGGTAGCAAATAGGAACATGAAACGGTTCTTAGCAGCCTTGAAGCTGCTGGATGCATATGAGTAATGGAAGGACTGATGGATATTCATACATCAGACATTTGAAGGTTTATTATGAGGCAAGGACTTGTTATCACCTAGAGGCAGGAGGTTGAGTTTCTTTTCCTGGCAGAGACATGATGAATAAAATATTACACAAGTTGCTATGGTACAAGCTCCCAGGGAGAAGTTTTCACAGAGGACTTAACATTTAAACTAGATTTTGAAGGCAGATTAAAGAAAACACAAAAATTAGTGGTTTCTTAGGCCAAAAAATAAGGAAGGGAAGGACTTCCTAGTCGGGAGTCAATAGGTTATTAGGGATGAAAGATCAATGATGGTTTAAGGGAACTGAGGATGTTGGTGTGGCTGGAGTGAGTGTCCTGAGGAGCAAGTGGTAGGACTGAAAAGTGAGATAGGAAAGGTGGCTTGAGACCACATTGGAAAGATTTTATCCTAGAAACTAGGATTTCTTGCAGGCTGATTCGGTCATTGTGTATTTTTTAAGAGCTACACATGACCAATCTAAAATTTTCAAACAATGGAGAAGAATATGAAAAGTAAAAGTCCCTTTTCTACTTTCCTAAATCTCTGTTCTTACTCCCCCAGAGGTAACCACTGTTAATATTTTATCATGCATCCTGCCAAAAATGCCCCATGCCAACACAAACATATTTGTCCTTTTCTTTTATGCAAATTCAACATCTTGCTCTTTTCACTTCGGAGGCAATCAGAGGAATGTTGTACAATGATAACTAGCTTCAGTGTGGAGTATGGTATGGTATGGTAAGCATTTATTCAGCAAATTATATATTATAGGCCTACTGTGTGGCAGGCTTTATTCCGGGCCCTGGCATTATAGTGGTGGATATCATTTAGGAAGCCATTGCTATAGCCCAGGTGAGGGCTGATAGAGGCCTGAAAGCCAGTGGGATTGGATACAAGAGCAATATTATGGTACAGTTGATGAGAGTGGCAATCAAGTGGCTGGGAAGTGACAGCTCTTGCCTTATATTTGAAGAAATTGATGCTTGGTGAAATTGAGTAAGTTAGCTAAGAAGCAACATAATACAAATTAGAATCCAAGACTCCTGGTTCCTTGGATTTTTGCTCATTCTAAATAATTGTATATTCTGTACTATTCTTCAGAAAACTATGTTCTGCGCCTTATGTGTAATAGTTTTATTAATTTGAATGTGATCTGTACCATTGTAATTATCTTTGTCTGTATTTTAAAGTAAATGTTGTTTTACTAGTATCTAGGTTTTATAGGGATAATTTCTGCATCTGATTTGCTACTTTAATCTCCTTTGTTCTCTGCTTGCTTTCAGGTACTTTGAATTCAAATAACCAAGAGGGGAGATTTGCTCTTCTATATTGGAGATAACGCAGCAGCGATGGGTCCACGAAAGAAAAGTGTTAAAAGATGTCTCATGAATAATGAGATCCCTGAGGAAACAGTATCAGAGGAAACAAAAGATTATATGAATCAGCTTTCACATGAAGTGCTTTGCCATATTTTTAGGTAAGATTATTTCTTTGGTTGCAGAAAGTTCTATTGGACAGATATTTTCTAGACTCTGTTAACATTCCAGGCTTCTTGGAATTCTTTTTGACTAAAAGACTTGTTGACTTTTGTTATTATATCACTGTGTATGTAAGGCAGCATTTCTGACTTTTTTTTTACTGCAACCCACATTGAGAAACACATTTTTGCTCAGTATGCAAATATATGTAAGTGGTTGAGTCAAAAGTTTTGTGAAATAATACCTATCATTACCATATGCAGTGCACACATGAAAGTTATTTTGTGATGAACTTTTTTTCAGAATCTTTTTTTGAATTATATTTTATCCAAATTGCATTATAACAGTAGTTAAAGAAACCAAAACAAACAAAAAACTCACAACATCAACAAAAATAACCTGTCTTTCTAGTTTCCCCTGCTCTCTTACTTCAGTCATGATCCATTCAATAAATAAATCCTAATATGCTTTGTTTCTGGAATTGGAGACCTGAGTTTGAATCCTGAGTCTCTCATTTACTAGCTGTGGACCAATGAGTAAGGATTCAATGAGATGATGCTTTTAAAGCACCTCACACACTGCATGGCTTAAATGCTTCATATTGCTACATGGTCTTCATAATTATCGTTTTAGTCACTGTGTTCTATTCCTATGACATGATAATTACCTTACCCCTTGTGTTCTGACATCTGGATTGTTTCCAGTTTTTCTCTTACACAATTATAGTAAACTTTTCTAACCATCTGAATTTTCAATTATTTTAGATTATTTTCTAGAGTAAATTTCCATATGAAGTTCTTGGAGATGATTTGAATTTTTAAAAATTATTAAATATTTGTAAATTTAGATGTTTTTAAGAAGTAGAGTTACTTTAGGGAACCATGGATACTTTATTTTTATTTTCTAATATAAATTTGTATTAGTCTTTATCATCTTCAGTTTGTTACTTTGTGACATAGTGCAGTTTTTGTTAGTTTAGTTCTGGGAATAGGGGCCCAATTAAAATAACCAATTTTTTTTTAACATAATGAAAAACTGCTAAAGTTCATCTTACAGAAAAATGTCTACTAGAATAGCCAAAATTTTTTGAAAAAAGAGTGTAACCTTATCAGATATTCAAATACATTTAAAAATATACAATAATTAAAGATTTGGAATTGGAGAAGATATCCGGGCAGTAGGGTAAAATAGATAGAACTCCATATCTAGGCTCCATATGTAGATTCAAATATATGTGGGGAATCTTGTTTATAATAAGCTTGGTATTCATCACTGAGGAAAAGCTATGTGGGTTATTATTCATTGATGATGTCACAACCTGAAAGCCATTTGGAGAAAATAATAAAAGCATGTTCTTATCTCATACCTGACAACTAAATTCTAAGTGCATCAATGAAATAAACAATAAAGCTATTAAAATTCCAGAAGAAATCATAGATAAAGTTGTTTCCAGGCTTGTGTGTTAGACGTTTGTGAATGATGGAAGGACATACTGTGAACAAAATTGGATCGTATTTTAAGTTGAGAGTGGATCAAATAACATTATACAGTTCAAACAGAATACTAAAATGGAAGGGTTGGAGTCAAGCACAAGGATGTTATTCTGGTTCTAATGCAAAAAACATGCAGCAAATTGGCAGAATGTAAAGAACTGTGAACTAAGCTGAATACTTAAATTGGGTATGAGCTGTTTATTCTAAAAAAAGATTTATTTTTAAGCTTCTGACGTTTTTATCTGAGGACCAGTGTTTTAGTTTTTGATAATTACTTAGCATGTTTTCATGAAATAAGTAAAACTATGGCTTCCTTAAAAGAAACCTAATCTTTGTTGTGTGTGCCATGTTAAACACATCTTTTCTAAAATGTATTTGATCTGCCTTTTGAACTCCAGCCCATTGACTATGTATCTGTGAAGAAAAAATAACATTTCTTTTTCTGAAGACAAATGTGATGTAAGATAAACTTCGTGTGATTACTGATCTATTTGTATTTAAAGGGAGTATAATATTAACTGAGGCAAATACTTTGCATAACAATGATTTGGGGGAAAATGTTTTAGTGGCAAAACTAAACTCAACATTTTTCATTGTTTGTAAAATGTGTAGTTATATAGTTTCTGAAAATTTTGCGTACCTTTAAGTTATGGAGGCTGTAAATTAAGTTAGCAGTAATATTTTTTTTTTTTTTCTTGGTAGAGAAAATGATTTGATTCTCTTTATTTAAATAGTTTTAAAGGGGAAGGGAGAGGAGCCAGAGGTAGGAAAAAAATGGAGTAGAGAAATATTCATCAGGCATACTTGGACTTTTCTTTTAGAATTAGCTTAATTTTTAGGATTTACACTCAGACCCAGCTGTGTTGACATCTTCTCATTCTAGCAGGAAACAAGATACACTCAGCTGGAATTTGAAGATAATTTAATGAAGGGACTATTTTGAGAGTGTGGGTAGGCGTAGGGTTAAAGGAATCAATGAGGGATGTTGAAGAATTCAGGTAGGGGACTAGCAATGCAGAAAGCCTTTACCTGGACTTGACATTGGCCAAAGTCAACTGATAGAGAGGTAGGGAACACAGCAGAGCAGAGAAGGAAAGAAAAGATGGGGGAGGGCTGTGTGGCAAACATTGAACAGCTTACCTTGCAAAGTTGTGAAACAATGATTTCCGTCTGTGACATGATACCATCTCCATAAAGGGCAGCTTGCATGTTTTTTAAAAAATTAATCTAAGTGTGCATGGAAGGGTGTTGAAAAAGAATATTTTCTGATCTTTCAAAACATATGTTGGTATTACTGGAAACAGCAAAATAAAGGTTAATTGAACAGTTGCAAGAAGGAAAATATAACGAGGTTGGAAAAGAGGAAATTGCAATTCAGATAAAGTGTTCTCACTTAATGTTTATGAAATACTTTTATCAAAGTGTGTGATCTAAAAGGTAGAAGATCTAGGGAAAATTATATACTATAAACTTACTATACATATCTGAGAAAATAGAGTTTCTTGTGGTGTTGAGGGAGCAGAGAAGAATTTTTTAGACACTACAGAAAATGGATCTAGAAAAGCTATAAAATAATATTGGGCATGTTCAAAATGATCAGTGCTCTCATCTTCCTTGCATTCTCTTAACACCATGTTTTGAAATGCATTGAAGTTTTTTTCTTCCTACTTTTTTTTTGGAGATTCTTTTGTCCTTAAAAACTTAAAAGAAGAAAGGCAGGTTCTATTAAATACCCTTTGGAGGAAGCTCAATACTTTTTCTTTGGATACTTGAGTATTTGCTGACTTACCTGTTTTTAGTAAAAAGCCATATATGCCTATTAATCTTAAAACCCTATGAATATTCCGAAGGTCTTATTTCATTTGAGGGGTAGGAGAATGGAAGAAGGAAAAAATCACCCATCAGGGAGAGGAAGTCCTTATACACTTGATAAATATGAGTTTCTTTCTCTCACAAAGGTACCTCCCTCTGCAGGATATCATGTGTATGGAATGTCTTTCCCGGAAGCTAAAGGAAGCAGTGACCCTGTACCTGAGAGTTGTGAGGGTTGTGGATCTCTGTGCTGGGCGCTGGTGGGAATACATGCCAAGTGGTAAGTGGATTTAACCTGAAAACTAGCATTAATTATGTTTCCATCAAAGGTAACTTGTCATCAAATCTTGTTGTCTTGAGATAGACAATTGGAATCATCTTGTAAGTAGGGAGGCAGGGTTTTAGCTAAATTATTAAGGTTAGGTTAGTTTGATAAAATACATTTTGCCTGGCCCTGACTGGTTTGGCTCAATGGACAGAGCCTCGGCCTGTGGACTGAGGGGTCCTGGGTTCGATTCCAGTCAAGGGCACATGCCTGGGTTGCAGGCTCGATCCCTAGTAGGCAGCTGATCAATGATTCTCTCTCATCATTGATGTTTCTCTCCCTCTCTCTCTCTCTCTCTCTCTCTCTCTCTCTCTCTCTTTCTCTCTCTCTCTCTCCCCCTCTCCCTTCCTCTCTGAAATCAATAAAAATCTATTTAAAAAGAATACATTTTGCCTGATGCTTTCCTGTTCTAATGGTCTGTTGTTTTCATTTCCTATTCTTTAAAGGAACTATATCAGCCTAATCCACAAATACATGATTAGAAAATACTTACTGAGCCCTTTATTACCTAAATATATGCCTATCACATTAGATAAAGTGTCCTTTATTTTACAGTGCAGTTTTTCATGTTTTCCTGTACTCCTCCATGGCGCCCTGTGGTTAAAAAAATATTTACAAATATTTGTAAAGCTGCTCTAGTAGGCCACAGAGGTTGCACTTCTGGAACTTGAATTTCTTTAGCACTTTTAAAAGGCCTATGCTAGGTCTTGAATATTTTCAAATAAGGCATTGGCCTTGCAGGTAAAGAACTCAAAGTTAGTAGCCTAACCACAACAAATGGACCTCAGATAAAGAGACCCTGAGAAAAGAAAGTTGAGCCTGGCCAGTGTAGCTCAGTGGTTGACCATGGACCTTTGAACCAGAAGGTCATTCCTGGTCGGGGCACATACCCAGTTGTGGGCTTGATCCCCAGTGTGGGGCATGCAGGAGGCAGTCAATCAATGACTCTCATCATTGGTGTCTCTCTCTCTCTCTCTCTCTCTCTCTCTCTCTCTCTCTCTCTCTCTCTCTCTCCCTTCCTCTTTGAAATCAATAAAAATATATATATTTTTAAAAAGTTGATGACTTTATTTAAGCAGAACATATCTGAAAGGGAAGAATTAAAATTAAGGGCCAATCAGGATTTTTCCCCCCCAGTTAACATCAATCCATTAATTAGTGCCCTTTGGTTACTGTGTTTAGCAATTTAAAATTTTTAACCACCTTTCATCAAAGTATCCAGATCCTGATATTTTGAAAATGTGATGGGGCTGGGTATAGGGGAGCCTTTAAGGGTATGTGAAGAGCTGAGAAGATAATTGTCTTATTCTGTTCTATTATGTGGCATGGGACAGATTACCTCTGGATCACTGGAATATTATACAGCTTGGGCAACCATATCCTTTCCAGAGGGTCTTCAGTCACCTGGTAACTCTTACGGGTTGGCCAGAGTTAGTTAACAATAGTGTATACCTTTTTGCTAAGCAAAGACCTGAGGCTAGAACAGTTGTCTTTAAATACTTGAAAGAAACCATCCTAAAGGGAAAGCATTCATCTTACTTGAAGAGTGATCATTTGTAACAGGAAAGAAATTAGGGCAATGTGAAAATGACTGCCATTCCTTATATTAGATTTACTTTAATGGAGGTTAGGCCAGCAGGAATTCTGGAGATGAGATCAATGCACTATATAAAAAGCAGCATAGGAGAACTCCCATTTTAAACAGTTTAGAAGAATTTGTATGTACATTGCTGGCTTCTTTCAGACTGTGATAAAACCTGTGAACACAAGGCTTCCATCCCTGCAAAATATATAAAAAGAGTCAAAGCAGCAAACAGTCTCTAGCCTAGAATAAGATCTCACTAATTCTTGTTAATGCCACCCTGGCCTGTCTCTGAGTTTGAGCCCTGATTCTCTCTATAATAATGCTAACTAAGGTTTTTATATAGTACTCATGGTTTACATATGCAAGCTTTTTGAATTCTCACACCATCTCTAAAGAAGGTGGAACTTTACCCACATTTTAGTGAGAGGCAGCATGTACTGTACCATTAAAGCGAATGGACATTGCCAGTGGTCAGATTTAGTTTTGAATTTGGGCTCTGCCACATGGTAGCTTTTAAATTCAAGCTTATTTTTTACATTTGTAAATGGGGTGATAACCTTTTTCATTGGGTTGTGAGAATAGATGAGAAAACATGTAAACTGGTTAGCACATTGAATGTCAATAAAGGTTACTATCTATAATAATAAAAGCATAATATGCTAATTAGGCTGGATGTCCTTCTGGACGAAGCTGGGGCTGCTAGGGAAGCCCGGGTCCCTGGTGCTGGAGGGAAGCCCGGGTCCTGGGTGCCGGAGGGAAGCCGGTGCCAGCAGCCAGAGGAAGGAAGGCTACTCTTGCATGAATTTTGTGCATCAGGCCTCTAGTACGGGATAATAATGTGAATTGTTATAATTAGAAAGACCAAGACATTTTTAAGATCCTTTTTTACTCTTTAGTTTTGTGATGCTAAAGTTACCATATCATTCGAACTAGCCCTGTACAAAAAGCACAACTTTTGAAAACTTTAGTATGTAAGACGTAGTGATTTGGGGCTTCATTTTTTAAAAAATATATTTTTTTATTGATTTCAGAGAGGAAGGGAGAGGGAAAGAGAGATAGAAACATCAATGATGAGAGAGAATCATTGATTGGCTGCCTCCTGCTCGCCCCCTACTGGGGATTGAGCCTGCAACCCAGGCATGTGCCCTTGACTGGAATCGAACCTGGGACCCTTCAGTCTGCAGGCCGACGCTCTATCCACTGAGCCAAATTGGCCAGGGCCATTTTTATTCTTGAGAGTTACTATTTTTATCATTAGTGAGCTGACAGTTGGCTCTCTGACAGCCTACATTAAAAATAAAAGCCCCAGGTTGTCAAATAAAAAAAATGACAACAACCAGCACAATAGCTGTCTGGTGTGAATGCCCTGTCTTGAACCATAATAGAGTTGCGTTTTTTTAAAATATATTTTTATTGATTTCAGAGAGGAAGGGAGAGGGAGAGAGATAAAAACATCAATGATGAGAAAGAATCATTGATTGGGTGCCTCCTACATGCCCCCTACTTGGGATCAAGCCCACAACCTGGGTATGTGCCCTGACCAGGAATCGAACCATGACCTTCTGGTTCATAGGTCAGTGCTCAACCACTGAGCCACACCACCCAGGCAAGAGTTGCATCTTACTGGTCATGTCACATAATAAAGTTGCATCTGATTGGTTATTTCTTGGTAGCAAAAATCCTTATGCACATTATAGGCACCTTATCTTTTTAAAATTTTTTGTCTTTATCATTGATAGTATTACATATTATAGATGTCCTCCCTTTGCTCCTCCATTGCCCCCCTCCACCAGGTATCCAGTTTCCCTGCCCTTGCCCCAGGCCTTCACCACCCTATTAAATATAAGTTCTTTGGTTAATCTCTTTCTGCCACCCTCACCCCTTCCATCTGAGATTTCTTAGTTTGTTCCATGTTCCCATGCCTCTGTTTCTATATTATTTATCAATTTATTTTCTTCATTATGGTGTATAAAAATGCCATCGATTTCTGGATGTTGATTTTGTAGCCTGTTCCGTTGCAGAATTCATTTGTTAAATCCAGTAGTTTTTTGGTGGAGTCTAGGGTTTTCTGTATACAATAGCATGTTATCTGCAAAAAGGATAGGTAATTAGGCCCTCGCTGGATAGCTCGGTTGGAACATCTTTCTGATACACCAAGTTTATAGGTTCAATCCCTGATCAGGGCACACATAAGAATCATCCAATGAATGCATAAATAAGTGGAATAACAAATTGATTTCTCTCCTCCCTCCCCCCCCCCAAATTCAATAAAAAAATTTTAAGGGTAGGTGATTACTATTATTATTATTATTTTTGTAAGTCAATCAAATCATATCTTTTTTTTTGGTCAGATCTGCAAAAAAAATTTTTTTTTCGGTGTGCTGCAGAATGTTAGGAATTACTTTATATGTGTCATGAAATGAGAAAGGTTGAAAATTGCTGGTGTAAAATGTCTAGGGAGTGCCCCAGCCAGTGTGGGTCAGTTGGTTGGGCATCATCCCTTGCACCTGTCAGTTTGATTTGGTTTGATTTGGGATCAGGGAGATTCCAGGTCAGGACACATGCCCAGGTTGTGTACTGGATCCCAGTAGGGAGCATTGCAGGAGGCAGGCCATCGATGTTTCGCTCTCACATTGGTGTTCTCTCTCTCTCTCTCTCTCTCTCTCTCTCTCTCTCTCTCTCTCTCTCTCTCTCTCCCTCCCTCCCTCCCTCCCTCTCTCCCTCTCTCCCTCTCTCTCTCTTCTCTCTCCATTTCTCTCTCTAAAAATCAATAATAAAAATAAAATCTTTATTAAAAATAAATAAAATGTCTAAGGAGTGATAGATAAACACTAGACAGAGTAGTTATTAGGACTAAAAGAACCTAGGTTGGGATGGGATTTAGGTGAGAACCGAGCTTTCTGAAGATGAAGATCTTTCTTACCTTACTCATTTTTTTTTTGGTTGCAGGGTCTGTGGACCCCTTGAGGTTTTATGTACCAGAGAGTACTTTTTGGGGAGGAGGAAAGTGCCTAGTAAATGCTGACAGACAGAAAAATGAACTAGGCTCTAAATATCTTTGAACTTCTCAGGCTTCACAGATTCCAGTTTTCTGACACTATTGAAGAAGATGCCAGACGTCGAACAGCTATATGGCCTTCACCCTAGATACCTTGAGAGGCGGAGGGTGCGTGGCCATGAAGCTTTTAGCATTCCAGGTGTTCTGGAAGCTTTGCAGGCATGCCCAAACTTAGTGGTAAGTGCCTCTAGTTGAACATTTAACATCAACTAATTGATGAAATAAATAAAAATAATGATAACGCATGTTCACTCACATGTAAATTTCATCCATAGCAAACTTCTTAAGTTCCATTGCATGCTTAACATCTTATGATACAGAAATAGAAGCTTTGGGTGCTAAATTAAAAGCCTTTCTTATGCTTGCTTTGGCATTATTTTCTAGGGTGTGGAGACTTCTCATTTGGAATTGGTAGAATCCATTTGGACGTATATGCCTCATGTTCATATTTTGGGGAAGTTTCGGAATCGTAATGGAGCATTTCCAATTCCTCCTGAAAATAAACTGAAAATTCCTATAGGAGCAAAAATTCAAACTTTGCATTTAGTTGGTGAGTACATGTTTCTCGGGTCACTTGTGACTCCTTGAAATGCCACGTTAGTTGAATATTCATTGAAAGGAAATAGGCAGAATTTTAGAAATGTCTTTGTTGATTGATGGTAGCAAAGATATGCTTATGAGATTTGTATAAAAATTTCCCACTAAAAAGCCTGGGATGGGGAACGAGAGAAATACTGCTTCACAACCACTCTATTTCCTTTTTGAAGATAGTTTGAGTAGTTTTGAAAGTTGTTGGTTTTTTTGTTTGTTTGTTTGTTTCAATGAATCAGAATCCTGCCATTGTTATCTAACATCTACCTCTTGATTCTAGCTCAACCCTCTAGAACAGAGTCCTCCAGTGTAACTTACTGTGATGATGGAAATGTCCTATACTTGTCCTATCCCATATGGTACCCACTGTGGCTAGTGAGACAGGAACTGATTGTTTTTTTATGGTAATTTATCAAATAGCCACATGTAGCTATTTTTATATAATAAAAATCTTCATTATAGCTCTTAGGTTACTCGTATCTTCTCCAAGCAGAAAGTGCCCCGGTATTCTTCAACCCAGAGTCATTGGAAAACTCTACCACTTCTCTGTTTCCCTGAGAAATGGGGAAGAGATGGTCTTTTCCAGAGTCATCTTATTTGTAATGATCACAGTGTGTAGTCTCTGTCTAAATATTCCCTGGTACTATATCCCAATAATTTCAACCTAAGTAAATGAATTGGTAGAATCCATTTGGATGTATTTTCTCTAATTTGTTGTCTTTGGCTTAGATTGCTGAAGGGAATTTTTATTACTCCTGTTACTATAGTCTGACATTTAAAATTCATTTATTAAGTATTTTACCTAAAATATACATATTGAGTATCTGCTGTATTTCAAGCATTATTCTAGGTATTTTGGGATGGTCCTGAACTAGAAATTTCTGAAATTGGGTCAGGTGGGAAGGGAGAGCAGCAGGGGTGGTAGGAGTAAGTCTTAAATAAGACTTATGTGCACAATTATGGAGGAGGAGCAAAGCTCTCCAGCATCCCTTCATTGACAAGATCAAGGAGTGGTTCTGTTTAAGGACTTGGATATCTAGTTTGAAATTGGGTTTTTAGATAGCATTAGAATATCTGAAGTTAAAATATAGGCCCTGCACATAGACTGTATTTTTATATCTTTATGTTTTCTATGATTCCTGTCACAGTTCATTGCAAAAAAAATATGTACTTGGTAAGTTGAAATGCATTAAATAACTTGATTAATTCAGCAGCTTAACACTGTAATGGTGATACAAATGTGGGTAGTAAATTAATGAACGTGCTGGGGAAGACAGGTAATAGTCTTTGTGTATAGAATGGATTTGGGGCAAAATGTAGATTGGGCATATGATGTCTCATCTGCATCTGTCTCACTCTTGGTACCTTGGGTTTCCTAATCAGAACTACCATCATCATGGTAGATATATTTTTGAATTTTGCATCTTGAGTCTCAGTCTGTACTTTACTTCCTCTGTTTTTTTTTTTTCCTTTGGTCTCATCCTCAATTTTACTTCCCATCTGTTGCCATCCAATGTGTATGCATCATTCAAAGTTAAGTTAACCATGCTTATTTGGGAGTACCAAGTTAAGAAGTTATCAATACAGTAGAATTTAGCTTTCTATAGAATTTAGCTTTTAAAGAACCAGACATTCAAATACTCTAATATTGCTTTCTCTAGTTACCATTGCTAGCAGGGCTTCTACTGACTCAAAGTTAAAAGTTGCATTAAGCTGGTTTAGCTAGCTGCTGCTTATGAAATATAGTAACCCTGGACCCTTGGATATCTCTCAGAACCTGTGTCACTTCCTTGCTATTCTGTAGCCTGCAGTGTTTAGACCAGGGGTGGGCAAACTTTTTGACTCGAGGGCCACAATGGGTTCTTAAACTGGACCGGAGGGCTGGAACAAAAGCATAGATGGAATGTTTGTGTGAACTAACATAAATTCAAAGTAAACATCATTACATAAAAGGGTACGGTCATTTTTTTTTTTTTTTAGTTTTATTCATTTCAAACGGGCCGGATTCGGCCCGCGGGCCGTAGTTTGCCCACGGCTGGTTTAGACTCTTGAGCAAGTTCCTGGAGCTGCTTCCTTCCATTTAGAATGTACAAATTACCTGTCTTCTTTCTTCCGTATTTCCTGACTTTTCCTCCCACCATAAATCCGCACCCCTTTCTTCCAGACATGGTCCTCTGTGATTTCTAGCTTTAAGCCACTCATGGATCAGAAGGGCAAAGTAACTTTATCAATTTGAAATCCTATATAATAAAAGCCTAATATGCTTAATGTCCAACTGGTTGTTTGACCGGTTGCTATGACGCGCACTGACCACCAGGGGGCAGATGCTCTGACTGGTTGGTTAGCTTGCTGCTGGGGTCCGGCTGAACTGGACTGAGCTAGACGATTGGGACTGACAGGCCGGACATGCCCTGGAGCCCTCCTGCGGGCCCTCCCAGGCCCCAATTGTGCACCACTGGGGTCCCTCCCTCGACCTGGCCTGCTCCCTCTCGCAATCCAGGACCCCCCGAGGGCATGTCCACAGGACAGGCCAAGGGACCCCCACTGGTGCACGAATCGTGTACCAGGCCTCTAGTATTAAAATAAATGACTGACAGGTCTCTCACTTTCTTAGCATCATGCTGACTGGCTCCTACCACACATCTACAGATCCTTAAGATTCATACATTTGTAAGAAGAGCTTTAATCTCTGTGTCTGGTATCAGTCAGAAACCAGGATTTTTAAAGCCAACTAGCCTGCATTTGTGCTGAGAAATTTAGTTTTCCCACTGGCAGGATAGTGGACACTGGTAGTGAAATAGTAATTTTGTATATTGTTTCTGTATCTTCTTACTTTTGCTATCAATAACCTATATTTATATTATATCCACTGGGCAAATGTATCCTGGAAGGGTTGTGGTGTTATGAGAAAGACTTATGTGTATAACATATAAAATCCTATCTTCCCATGTGCTTTTACTCAAGAAATAACAAAGTACCTTGTCTATTTATGGTTTGTTTAAATTGTTCTTTACAAGACTGTTTTAAGTGAGACAAAGTTGATAGATTTTAATGGGGTAATTTGTTCTGAATAAAATATCCATGAAGTATATGTTATCAACTTGAAAATAGACTCGAACTTAGATACAGAATACAGAGTTTCTTGGTGATTTTCTTGTTTGTTCTTTTTTTTACATATATGTTTTAGGGGTGAATGTTCCTGAAATTCCTTGTATCCCAATGTTAAGGCACCTTTATATGAAGTGGGTAAGACTCACTAAGCCACAGCCATTCAAAGACTTTCTTTGCATCAGCTTGCGAACTTTCGTCATGAGGAACTGTGCAGGTAATGGGACATAGTCATGGTGGAGTTACTAGTACACATATGCTATTCTAAAAATAACCTAAGCAAACTCCATAGCTACATTCATAAACAAAATTATATTTTGCTACTACTATAGTATGTGTTTTGTAACTTACCTTGTGAAGATAAATACACTTTTTGTTTGAAGACAGTAGCTACATGATTTGTGTCTGACCCTTAGCAAAAAAAGGTGTCACTATGTCTCTAAGTATTTCTTATAGGCACTTTCACACTTTTTTATAGGATTGTTCTAATAGATATGTTTGCTTTCTTTGTCTTTGGTCACTTTTTTTGGATTGTTTTAATAGATTTCTGTTTGCTTTCTTTGTCTTTGGTCACCTAATCATTCTGCCTGTAAATAGTTGATCTAATGTACTTTAAAGCATAAAACACTGCTTTTATGATACTGCTTTTCAGTTCAGAAACCTTCAGTGTCTCTGTTTCCCGAGCATGTCAAGTGCAAACTATTGTGCTTTAAATTTTACAATCACCAGGGCCCTTCTTGATATCCTTGATTTTTGATTCCTTCCCAAGATACACATTCTTTTCTAGTCAGGTCTGCCTACATACTGTCTACAACAATACCACCTTCACCTCAGTGTCTTTCCTTATGCTGTATGTCCTGAGTTACACACTTCCTTCCTCCTCTTTACTTGTATACATCCTTCAAGTTCTGCCTCTTTCTGCTTCCCTTTCTATTCTATTTCTTTCTTTTTTTAAATATAGTATAGAAGATCTTATTTTTGTACTTGATATGTCCTGCCTTTTTATATTTTTATAATTTTTCATGTTAGTTTTATCTCCATGCCAGTTGCAAGCTCTTTGATAGGACCATATCTTTTATGATCTTCCATAACACTTAATCCAACAATCATTACATAGAGATATGTTTAAGTGATTGTGCTATTTACTTGAGTGAAGGATCAAATTTTCAAATTGGCTTTTCCCCCCTTAGTTATTTTGAGCTCAAAACTATTAAGACTTCAGGGAATTTATTTTAAAAAAACCCCAAAACCTATGCAATATTCTTGACAAATCCTAAGTATATGGTTAACAGGCCAATACTTACATTCTAATAAGTTTAAATGGCAAAGAGCCAACTACTTGGCTCTCATTTTCCAACATAGAATTTATGTTATTTCAACTGCTGACTTGAAAATTTGTCTTTAGGGCTGTTTATATAATTCATTGAATTTTGTTTTTCTTTTTCCCAGGTCCCACAAACTCCTTGAAATATGTCCCTTTAGTAACAGGCCTGGCCTCTGCCCGAAACTTGGAACACTTAGAAATGGTTCGAGTTCCTTTCCTTGGAGGTCTTATCCAACATGTAGTTGAAGACAGTTGGAGATCAGGTATTTGTTTTTCTTTAGTTACTAAATATTTTAAAAATCAATCTTTAAAGATCATTAAGATATTATTTACTTCTCTTTTTCAAAAGAAAATGCTTGTCAGTAATGGCACTTTCTGTCTGGTGTATTTCATAGAGAGTAAGTAACCATGAGCACAAGCTAGTATTCATTTCCATTTTATGCAATGTTAAACCTTCTTAAATAGAGTGATAAGGCATGTTTTCTGGCTTGTTAATACTTATATTTAGTTAATACATCTGTTATATTCAGATTGTTTCTGAGAAATGTTAACAAGGATGTCTAATGCTCTTTGGTTTTAAGAGATTTTTTTGACTTGGATACCAGAACAACTCAGGTATTAATAACATAACTATATTTAATAGTATATAAAATGTTTTCATGTTTATGACTTGGATATAGACCCATCCATTAGATTATGGCTTTTAAAAAAATGAACATTTTATTCTTTAGGTCACATTAATTATATTTTAAATCATGATATGTAATAGAACCCTCTCCATTTTAATCACATCTAATTGAAACAGAAATACCAAAAAGTTTAGCTAGCTAGATAATACTTGAGAACTGAAAATCTAACTTTGGATATTCAAAGTATAAATCAGGTAGGGAGCCTTGTTTCTGCCAAGGGCCATTTAGATATTTATAACATCATTTGAGAGCCATACAAAATTATCAACTTAAAGATTATCCTTCTATATTTGGTCAAACATTTAATTAACTCACCCCTAATGCCTTGGCAGGGCCAGACCAGATGTTCCCCACCTTTGGTATAAATGGAAAATCATCAAGTATCATTGGTTACAAATAAACATTATCACTAATAGTAATGACAATAATACTTCAAATCCAACAGAAATGCATAAAGTATTCACCAAGAGTGCCGGGGTCCAACCCCAGCGGGTCCAGGGGTTCCCAAAGGTGTAGACGGAGTCGGCGAAGAAGGAATGACACGGAAACAGTGTTCAGTTGATCAGTAGCCTAGCCAGGATCTCCAGCCAGGATCTCCAGCCAAGTTCTGGTCTGGATCTCCAGAGAGGTTCTGCTTCGGATCTCCAGCCAGGTTCTGTTCAGGTTCTGTCCAGGTTCTCCAGCCAGGTTCTGTAGCCATGTTCCCTCGCTAGGTTCTCCAGCCAGGTTCTGTCCAGGTTCTCCAGCTGGGTTCAGTCACCAGGTTCTAGTCAGGTTCTCTTGCCAATTTCTGTAGTCAGGTTCAGTCCAGGATCTTTTGCCATGTTCTCTCGCTAGGTTCTGTCTCTAGGTTCTGAGGCCAGTTTCTGTCCAGGATCTTTTGCCATGTTCTCTCCAGCGAAGTTCTTCTGTCTCTAGAGAACGTTCTGTGTAGGTTCTGTGCCTACGTTCTGTCTCTCTTGGTTCTGTATTCTAAGTTCTGTGTCTTGCTGTCTTACTACATCTGTATTTATACCAGTTGATTCCAATCCTATCAATCTCAATTACAAAGGTTAGGGCGTTTCTTATCTTCATTCCAGGGAGTAAAGATTATGTAGCTTAAGCACGATTGTTCGTAGTTAAAGTGATTAATTACCCACCTGGCACTTAGTTAAGAGGTTTTACTCCCTCCCTAACTTCAGGGGAAAATCCCTACCTGGGGAAACAACCTTTCTCAGAGAGGAGACCTTGGTTAAAACACATAGTGCCAAGAAGGTGAGCAAACATTTTAAGAACAGTATGCCATATATGCCAGGTCCTTTGAAACAGCAAGGATGGACCGGCTCCCGGCACAAGAGAGTGTTTAAAATTGTTTATAGTAACATTCATAAAAGCTCCAACATGGAAGCAACCCAAATCCCTATTTAGCAATAGCATGGAAAATTAAAATGTAACATATTCTTGCAATGGAATACTGTGCAACAATGAGAATGAACAAAGTAATGCTACAGGCAACAATATGGATGAATCTCATAAACAAAATGTTTAATAAAAAAAGCCAGACACAAAAGTATGCATACTGTGTAGCGTTATTTATAAGAAGTTCAAAACAAATCAGTCTTTTGTGAAATTCATTTAGCTATATACATTAATAATTTGTATATTTTTCCCCTCTGTATTTACAAGTCAGAAACATAGCCAAAACCAGTTAAAGATAAAGTAGTGTTGATCTTATTTCTTATAAATATATTGGAGGTTCAAACTTTAGCCAGAAAATGCTAGGATTCCTTACTTACAATTCCCTCATGAGCTTCTGGCTGTCTGAAAATTCTTACTTAAAATTTAAATAATTTGGACTAATTTTCAGACGCCATCAGAATGTCTTTTCAGAGTGACGGTATCTGTTTTCACCTTAGGAGATAACTAATAGTCCTAATTGATCTTGAGATACTCATTTGAATAGAAAAACAAACTTAGATTTTAAAAAAATTATCATTTAAAGTGAGAATAAATGCTTTACTAAAAGTACTGTGGTCAAATGAAATGTCTTATGTTTTGTTCCTTTTCTTTGTTAACCAGGTGGTTTTAGAAATTTGCACACCATTGTTTTGGGAGCTTGCAAAAATGCTCTTGAAGTAGACCTTGGTTACCTCATTATCACTGCTGCTCGTAGGTATGTTTCCTCTTCACTTGTCTTGTCTTAGAATTATATGTATTTTCCTGTTTTACAAAAATTTGGGGGAATATGTGTGAAAAGTTTGATCACGCCTTGTTCAGAGTTCAAATGCACTGGAGTTGTTTAAATAGCAGGGTTATCATGTAGTGGTAGTCCTATGTTATAATTGATGACCAGTTGAGCTGCTCTTTCAGATCCAGCAAGCTCTGAAAGGATGTGGTCTTATCAGCGAAAAACAGTCAGCTCTCTGGAAGTGCCTGAGAGTGTAACAGACATCAGCATTGATTCTCTGGCACCTGTAGCCATCTCAGGAAGCATGTTTCAACTTCAACAATTTTCTGAATCAGTTTAGTTAGTTGGAGATATTATTAGCTGTTGAGAAATCTGTTTAAAATCAGCCTTTTCAAGTTCCTGACCTTATAACACATTTCATATCACTGTGCCACATTTACTATTTCCTATGTTATCAAGAAGTCTACCTCTACTTGTACTTTAATATTTGATTTAAGTTTAATTAACTATTTTTTCAATTTACTTGTAAACAAAAGTCTTTTTATCAGTAGGATATTAAGAAAATAAATAAAGCAAAACTGTTTCTAAGTTTAAGTAAATAGGTATTGTTACCTACTGTAGAACTGTACTCTTTGTTAAAATGGGACATAATGGTTAGCATAGAAAAGATGTTAAAAAAAATACCAGCACCAGAGTCTTATTTGACTTAATCAGGTTTAAGAAAGCACTGGGAAGGATATAGGATTCTTACTGTGTAATTCATTGTTATTTAATAGGAACTTCCGTGTACCACCTAAGGTGTGCCCACACTTTGCAATTTGTATATTTAAAGGAAACATCTCTAACATCTTTTAATGGAGAGGAGAAAAGTTGTTTGCATTTGACACTTCAGCAAGATAAACTACTTTCAGAGCCTTATATTAGGAAGAGCCTTTGATTCTGGTTGCTTGTATTTCACTGTGATTGTGTATTTTACTGGTTGCTTGTATTTTACTGTGATTTATCTTTGTTCATAGGTTACATGAAGTTCGTATCCAGCCTTCCCTAACCAAAGATGGCGTCTTTTCTGCCCTAAAAATGGCAGAGTTGGAGTTCCCCCAGTTTGAAACTCTTCATCTGGGATATGTAGATGAGTTTTTGCTGCAGAGTAAGACTTATCCCATTTTTTTATTCTTTAGAATTACTGGAGGGAACTTACTTGACTGAAACCTGAATTGGGGTGTTTCATATTTTCCTGAATATAAGACAACTTAAACTCTTAGGTGCTCTCACTTCTTGAAAAAGAAATTTTTAATTTAAGCTTGAAGTGTCAGTGATTATTTTTTTCAATATTGCCTCTGAATTTAGCATATTATAGAAAATGTAGTGATTATCAGTATACTAAAAAAAAATCCTTATCTACATTTGATATTGTCTCCACTTTGCTGCCCAAGTTTCTTTCCCATTCTGCTTCATTTTTTTCACAGAATGTCATCCTTGGTTCCATTTGTTGAATTTGATCTGCCACACTTCTTGAAGCTTTTGATGGTCCTCTCAGATGAGGTCCCATTCCCTGCCCATGCTCTTCATTTCCATAAGTAGCCCGCTGGGCTACTGGATTTCCCAGATAGTGTGAGCACATAATGGTCAGTATTCATTTAATGATGATTGCTGTTGGAGGCTTGTTCACAGCATTTTCTGGAATGTATTTACAATGGGGAACTTAGCCTTTGGGTTTGAATGCATGTCAATTCGTTATTCAAACTTTTCTCCCACATGACGTTAGTCATACATGCAAGAACACCAGCATGTTTTTATTTTTGCAAGAATTAGTTTATTCCCCATGTAATTTGCAACAAGTCTTTCTTACACTGTTCACTGTCATTCCAGATGGCACTTTTTTCTTTGGATCTAATTTGTGTTGTAGAAAACCATAGAAGGCTTAATTCCTCTGGTCAGGACAGTCCAGGTCAAACAGCGTGTCTGTTGTCCTTTTTCATTTCTAATAATTGTCATAGTAATAGGATTTTTTTTTCTACTTTTTCTTTGTTGCAGTTCTCATTAATACAGGTGAAGGATTAAAACAATGAAATCAGCCAGTTTAACACAGGAATCACTTAATCTTTATAGCTTTGAAAAAGATCAGCTTTCCACCAACATAGCTTTAAAATGCTAAATTAGTATAGTAAGTTCATATAAAATCAGTGTACAGTAAGTCCCTCCATAATGTTTTTGGTAAGTTCTTTGAACTGTGGCAAAACAATGTTTGTATAATGAAACTAATTTTACCATAGGCTAATTGATATAAACAAGAGTAAAGTTCTTGTGGTATCTGATCAACATTGTAATGAAGGACATTTTAGGATCTGCTTTATTTGATATCAAACTTTTCTGGTTTTGAATGAGGTTGTAATATCTATGTAGTAACTTAACAAAATTATTAGTTTGGTAATTAGTGTTCTTTCTATAAGCTTGTATTTTGTTCTTCCCCAAAGCTCAAAACATCGATTTGTTGTTTCACTTACTTATTCATTCATTGGTTGCCTTTTGTATGTGCCCTGACTGGAGATCGAACCCACAACCTTGCTGTATTGGGATGGTGCTCCAACCAACTGAGCTACCCGACCAGGGCATATTTCTCTATTGTGTTTCTGTCCCCTCCCTACATATTTTCAAAGACAAACACTTTACCTTTGACTACTATTACCTTATGCTTTTCAAAATAACTTGTTTCAGTCTTTTTCATATTTAATAGTCCCTTAGCTCTGACCTTTTTTATAAGCTATCCTCTTCATATTTGCTGCAGTTCATCCATTTCTCTAGTATAATTGTTCTTCTCTGCTTCTCCAAAGGCAGCCTAGAATTCTCTGCATCAGAGTAGGATCCAGGTGCCTCTATTTAGAGAGGAACGGGAGGTCACTGGTCATACTCTGTCACTAAATCTCAGCCTCAGTGATTTAGATTTTAAAGCATCTGTCTAGGAGGTGGGGGTGGCCCCTGGTAAAACTTGAGTCACTTTTTTTGTTACAGAGGGTCTGGCAAAACATAAAAAGAGACAAAAATCCTTGTCTCAGACATTTATGGTAGAAGTGACAGTGCCAGATTGAGGAAATGGACATGCTGAAAAGCAGATGCTGTGTATTAGGAATATAAGTGACCCAAGGATGAATACTTATATAGATTTATGATCTCAGAGCTTCCTGTAAATGTGATAGGGATGTAATACTCATTGAAAACCAGAAGCAGTACAGAGTAGTCTTTAGTGCTGAAGCTTTAGAGAGAGGGAGGGAGATGGACTTGAGGACTGCCTGCTATTAATCGCGGGGCCTTGAGCAAGTTACTTTAGTCCATATCTCTTACTTGTTGTGGTTTTATCTACATTTAACAAATGAGAAAACATGGGCTTTTATTATTATAATCTCTGACATTTAGAAAGCATTCAGTAATGGTAACTTTTAGCAGAACTGTGAGCTGAACCAAAAAACAAAAATGAGTCTTTGGTGATGTCCTCAGGGTTTTGAGGGAGTGTTACAGTCAGGAGACCCTAAGAGCAGGAACACGCTAGTAGTCTCGAAGGAGTGAATGTAGGACATTGATTTCTCACATCAGGCTGTTTATTCAGACAGCACCCAAGGAACAGGGTCATTTCAAGATTTACCTGATCAGAGGAGAGAAAAGGCAAGTTTCAAGTCCAAAGGGCAAGAGAAAGCTTTTTATCAGGAGACTGAAGAAAATTGCTCAGCTTAATGGTAAAGGATGGGTTCAGGTGTAATCTGCAAATGCCAGTAAATGCCCAAAAAGGGGACTATCAGAGAGAGACTGAACTATATGGAAAGCGAAATTGGAAGAGTTTTGGAGTAGATTGCTTGTTTTAAGCATGTTCCAAACTGAAGGTATAAATCCCTCTAGTATGCAGGGCAGTTTCACCAGAGCAACTGTTTTCTTTGTGTCACTTGATTACAAGGACTGGGAAGATGTTGTTTGAATTCCTATATCCCCAGCCCTGAGCTAGACAATGAAAGTGGAAATGTGAACTAGATAAGTTCCATTTTTACTTCAAAGTGTTCATAGTCAACTGGACCATCCTGGAGAGTAGAGGGAAGATAGATGAGAGAAACATTGATAGGGGACAAGGGATGAGGTGTGATTTCCAATGGCATAAACCAGAATGGAGGGGCCTCTTCTACTTATATACACCCCCTCATCTGTGACAAGACAGTAGGAGCTCAGTGGCAGAGAGGGTGGGTGTGTTTGAGTTAGAAGTCCATGTCCTGGAGACAGATACAGATTTACCAACGAATAACATGGGCTCTTAAAATGAATCTAAATTCCCCAAGTTTATTCTTCTCTACATATGGCTATACCCAACTCCATAAACATGTGAGTTATATTTTTAAGGTATTATTTTTCTTTTAAAAGATAAAACTAAAACTTCACCATAAACTTGAACTAATATAATATATCTGTCCGCTTTGCTTTAAGAACTTTTGCTTTCTTTTTGCCTTTTCTAAATAATTGGAAATAATTTTTCCTATTAGCTGCCTCCCCTTAACTTTTAATATAAATTCTTACTTTAATGCCCATTTGTACAATACACCTAATTAAAAACTATACCTGAACCTGAATCTGATGATGGACAGATGACACAGAATGATCATAGAGAGTGATTGTACTGGATGTTAAGATAAAGAATTGGCAATGCTTCTGGACACTTAACCTTTTTAAAAAACAGTCTATTTCTCTTTTTAGGCAGAATGGCTAATGCAGATCTGGTGAAGTACGGTCTGGCCGATGTGGTAGAAAATCCTGGTATTATCACTGATATAGGGATGAAGGCAGTCAACGAAGTTTTTTCCTGTATCAAATATCTGGCAATTTATAATTGCCCCCATCTACATAATCCATACAATTGGATCTCAGGTACTGTAGGCTTAAATCTGCCTGTATTTTATGTCGAGATAATATGTATCTTTGTTTTCTGTGTGTACTATGGATTGCATTCGTAATATAAATGTAGATATTTTATATGAATTATTCATACAAGTTCTGGGAACCTTTGATAACCGAGTAGGAAGTATATTCAGTGCCTCTAAACTCCTGACATTTTCTGCCCAGAAGTTTGCACTGTCCAGGTTATGGATTCAAGTGCCCTGATCTAGATATGTACCTCTTTGGGCCAGGCACATACAATGAAGGTTAGAAATTGTTGCCTGGGATACTATGGTTGTTTCCTCTGAATTACCTTCAAATGGCACATTATCTGAAAGGGCAAAGTGGATATATATCTAACTTTAGTTAGGTGACATATTACACATTAACTTAGAGACATTTTTTGTCACCTTAAAATCCTAGGCTATTTCAGATCTCTCTACCCGCCCCCCCCCCCCCCCCCCCCCCCACACACACCCCGTGACTTTTTCACTTGGTATTTTTCCTTAAGAGGGAGTTGATTTTTCTCCCTAAGAGTGTAATACTGTTTATTTCTTTAAAGGTCCTTCTTAAATACCTAAATTCTCAACCTTTAAATAAATTCAGAACTACAGAATTTTCATTGTGATATCCTCTTTAATCAAACCATGCCCCCTCACAAACACCTACAGAACTGCCTCCTCTGCTGTCTGAGCCACCGCCCAGGGATATTGTAGCTCCTCACAAAGCCTGTCTTCAGGCCTGTTTTTGGGCTCTGGGGCCTCTGTTGAGATCAGTCACTCTTTAGAATGACCATGTCTCACCCACCAGAAATGAAATCCCTGGCCCAGCTGCACCAAGAAGTTATTGGGAAATCCAAACTTTAAGTTTAGGAAGTGTACACCACTTTTAAAAAATAACATTTATTGGGTTTTTGATTTGTTTGTTTTCTTAAATACAGAAGAGTATAAAGAAGAAAAAAAAATGGCCTATAATCCCATCACTCAGAACTCCTGTTAACACTTAAAAACTAAAATAATACATGCACTTGATAAAACAATATCAATCAGTACAGAAAGGTACAAAATGAAAAGTCTCCTCTTCTCAAAGGTAACCACCATCAACGGTTTCTTGTATATTCTATGGGCAGACTATTTTGGGCATGTTGCAGCCTATACATGTCTAGCATTGAAAATAATTTATATATACAAAAGGATCCTGCTATGTATGCAGTCCGGTAGCTTGTCTTCTGTACTAAGAATGTTTTGAGAGCTTTCCAAATCAAGCATATTCAGTTCTTCATTCTTTTAAAAGCTGCATAATGTTCTATTAAATTAATGCACCAATATTTCTTTAACTAGTGTCCCATTGTTGAATAGGTATGTAGGTTGTTGAGTGGATAATGTTTAAATCCAGGCTAACTTGGTTACATGTTAATGATTCCCACAGTGAAATTAGGTAACAAACATCATAGTTTACAGTTATCAAGTTGTAGAGATAAGAGAAAAATTGCTTAACGAAACCAGATTTGAAAGTCTTTGTGACCTATAGCAAAATTCATCAGTAATGGAGAAAGTGCTGCTTAAATTCTCTGTGGCCATTTCATCAACAGATCACTCAAGATGGACACGATTGGTTGATATCAACTTAGTGCGGTGCCATGCTTTGAAGCTGGACTCCTTCGGCCAGTTTATTGAATTATTGCCCAGCCTGGAGTTTATTTCACTGGACCAGATGTTTCGTGAACCACCCAAAGTAAATCATATTTAAGAGAATTTTTGTTCATTTATTTTGGTACCCAAGGAAGAAAACAAAACAAGTGTTTTCTTCCTAATAGTATGCCTTTACAGTGTTATAATTGGACTTTTTACTGCCAGACTCAGTGGAGGCATAAAGGTCAGAATAATGCATGGCCTCTTTCTTGTAAATGAGTATTAAGGGGTCTCTAGAAAAGGGAAAGAAAAAAGTAAGTGGAAAAGCTGTCTTCATCAGTTTTATAAACTGAAGATAAGGTAAGAGTGAAGACAGAAATTTGGGCTAATACAAATTATTACTCATACTAATTGGAACCCAAAATATAAATGAGGATTACGGATTTATTTGGAAATGTCTTACTTTGCTGCTGTCTTTTTTTTTTTTTTTTTTAAATATATTTTATTGATTTTTTACAGAGAGGAAGGGAGAGAGATAGAGAGCTAGAAACATCGATGAGAGAGGAACATCGATCAGCTGCCTCCTGCACATCTCCTACTGGGGATGTGCCCGCAACCCAGGTACATGCCCTTGACCGGAATCGAACCTGGGACCTTTCAGTCCACAGGCTGATGCTCTATCCACTGAGCCAAACCGGTTTCGGCATGCTGCTGTCTTTTTTAGTTGGTTGTATATCCTGGGAAATTTGAGATTGCCCAGTTGAACAAAATGTTATTTTAAAACTGCTTAACAAATAAAATTTATTATACTCTCATTGTAAAAAAAAATTAATGCTTCAACTAAGTATGTTCTCTCTTATCAGTTCTTACTGGTTACATTCCCACTGTTGAGTCAGTGGAATTTGAGGTCAGAACACTGGGTTTCAAGTCCCAGCTGTACCTCTTACTGGTCATGTGCTGTTGGGTGGCTCTCTTCCCATCATGCATCTCATCTGAAAATCAAGCATAATAACAATTTATCTTGCTTGAAGTGTTGTGAGCCTTAAATGAATTCTTGTATGTGTATGTAAAAGCATTTCATAAATAAAGTTCTATTTAAATATTCTTATGTAGAGATGAAATAAGGGATATAAGTGTGTGGTTTTATCTTAACCTTAGGGCTGTGCTCGAGTTGGTCTAAGTGCAGGCACTGGAATTGGGGTGTCCTCAGCCCTTGTCAGCAACCAGAACTCTAACAACGACAATGATAACAATGCCCAGAATAATGCCAACATCCATGACAACAATCATCATCCAGATGACTCAGATGAGGAGAATGACTTCCGGCAGGATCTACAACCAGGAGAGCAGCAGTTTGCAGCCGACGGTAACCCAGATCTTTTGTGAGCTCCAGATAGAGATGGTTTTTACTTTGGATCTATTCTATTCAGAGATCTAGTCTATCTCTGACTCTATTCTGTCCTTCCCTCCATTTCACTTTGTCACTTTACACATTAGGGTCCAAGTTGACAAGGTTAATGAAGGGATGGATGAAATTTGCCTGTCTGCTTGCTTGTTTCAAGTTCTCCATATAATGCCCTTGTCCACAGAATCTATAAGGCTACTTACAAAATAGGAAGGACTTGTAGATGCCATGGGAAATAGGGTTCAATGCTCCTTTGAGGCCTGGCTTAACTGAGATTTAACTTTCAGGATTTGGGCAAAAGAGCAATTCTTAATGTGTTCTGACTAATAGATATGGAGTATTCAGCTTGCACGTCCCCAGAGCTGAAAAATAGAAATACCAGTGATGTAGTTGACATTGTGTTGGGCATCTTTCACATACCTTTCATCTGTAAGTCTTCACAGCCATCCAGCAAATGAAGTGCATGAACTAATAAAGACCTATTGGGTTTGCTTATGTTCTTTAATCTTGACCAAACATTTGCTGTGTGCCTTCCCATGTGTGAGTAGGCTTCATCTGCCCTCTGTTGGTGAGTGAGGATAGAGTGGAATTATTTTTTCCACTTCCCCGGTTGACCCTTAAGAACTAGAGAAAAACCCTAGCTGGTTTGGCTCGATTCAGCATAAGGGCATATGCCACGTTTGTGGGCTCAATCCCCAGTAGGGGGCACCCAGGAGGCAGCCAGTCAATGATTCTCTCTCATCATTGATATTTTTGTCTATCTCTCCCTCTCCCCTCCTCTCTGAAATCAATAAAAAAATATAAGAAAAAGAACTAGGAAAGAATCTGTTCTGGCCATCTAACTGCTGCCCCTCACCCATTCTTGTGGGCACAGCAATTAATGGGAACAAAGCCCTGATGGTATGTAACTGCTTTGATAATGAAAGCATGCTGTGTATAGAGCATGAGCTCCTTTAAGGTCACTCTGTAGTATGCAGCCCCTCATCTAGGAACCATCTGTAGACATTGTCTTCCCTTTCCCACCTCACAGAAATCTCCATTTTGATTCTTGAAAGTCATCAGTGACTCTTAATAAAAGCTAGTAGTCATTTCTCCACTTTCATCTTAGTTGACATCTCAGCAGCATTTGTCTTTGTTGCCCACTTCTACCTTCCTGAGATATTTTCTTCTCTTGTCATCCCTGAAACCGTTTTCCTGGTTTTCCTCCTATCTCATTGGACATGCCTGCTCAGTTTCCTTTCCTTGCACCATTTGCTCTATTCCACATTTCTTCTTGATCTTACTAAACATTTTTTTCTACATGAGCTCATTCAGTCTCATGGCTTCTATACCAACTAATGAATTCTAAACCTTTTGTGCCAGCTTTGATCTTTCTACTTTTTTTTTTAATATATTTTATTGATTTTTTTCAGAGAGGAAGGGAGAGGGATAGAGAGTTAGAAACATCAATGAAAGAGAAACATCGATCAGCTGCCTCTTGCACACCCCCTACTGGGGATGTGCCCGCAACCAGGGTACATGCCCTTGACCGGAATCGAACTTGGGACTCTTGAGTCCGCAGGCTGACGCTCTATCCACTGAGCCAAACCGGTTAGGGCATCTTTCTACTTTTTTAAATATTGCAGTTATATCTGGCTTTATCTGTTTTATTTCCTCTTGAGTACTCTTAGACATTTCAAACCTACAGCTAAATATCTGCCGCCGCTCCCCCCCTACCCCCCAAATAAAGATACAGAGCAGAAGGCGCTATTGGGCTAAGGAGAGGGAGTGAGGTGAGGTTAGGTATTATCTCTTTTGCCTTGTTGTCTTTGAGTGTCATCGTACTGGTCACTGGAACCATAAGGATCTGGACTTAAGAGAACATAGACCGTCCATAGGAAACTGACAACAGCTGCAGTACAGAACCACCCAGACCCTCTGAACCAGTGGTTCTCAACCTTCCTGATGCCGCGACCCTTTAATACAGTTCCTCATGTTGTGGTGACCCCCAATTTCATTGTTACAAATTGACCATAATTAAAGCATAGTGATTAATCACAAAAACAATATGTAATTATATATGTATTTTCCAATGGTCTTAGGCGACCCCTGTGAAAGGGTTGTTCGACCCCCAAAGGGGTCGCGACCCACAGGTTGAGAACCGCCGCTCTGAACCCCGTTGTGGTTGGAGTTAATTTACTGGACAGATTCTGGACTCCACTGAAAAGTTACTTGGCCGTATGTTTCTCAGTGCATAATGGAGAATGCCTTCCATTGTGAATCACTTATTGGTGTAGCAGGGATCAAAATGTGCAAGAACACTGTGTTTGATTTAAGAGAGAACAATGGAACTCAAATCTACTAACATAGAAATTTAAGCTTTTAGTTTGTGTGGGACTTACACACAAACCAAATACTTGAGGTACAGTCTTGTTAAACCAGAGATCTTGTGATCTTGTGCTGTGAAAGGCCGAGCAATTAAAAAAAAAAAAGTGCCACAAAGATTCAAAATTAAAAGGGATCAGTGAGAATTAGTTGACATGACTAACATTGATGCTTACACTCTAGATGCAAATTTAGCATTGTTTGTAAAGTTAGATTAAAATTTGGATTGACATGTTTACTTTCCTTAATGTAGAATTTTTTTATATAATATATTTTTATTGATTTCAGAGAGGAAGGGAGAGGGAGAGAGATAGAAACCTCAATGATGAGAGAGAATCATTGATCGGCTGCCTCCTGCATGCCCCCCCACTGGGGATCGAGCCCACAACCTGCCATGCACCCTTGACTGGAATCAAACCTGGGACCCTTCAGTCTGCAACACTCTGTCCACTGAGCCAAACCAGCTAGGGCTTACTGTAGAATTTTAAAACTTTTTACTCATGGGCCTCTAATGAGCTTTGGACCAACCCCAGAATGAAGCAAAGCCATCCACTCTCTATTACCCTGTTGTATTTAGCTTCATCAGCTTGCATTAAGTTGGCTTGTCTCTTTAAGGAGATTCTTTCAGGAACTGGATTCTCTCTTGGTTTTTTTTCATCTAACTCAAATGGTTGGGTGGTTGATTTCTCAGCAGTAGTTATTGAACATCCTTAAGCATTGAGGATAGAGTGGTGAACAAGGCGGACGTCTGCTGTCCTCTGAGTTGAGCCTGAGCTGTAAAGGTGCAGGATAGTGTTGGTATTACCTTGACTCAAACTGAGAGAAGGCACAGGCTTATCGGGGGGTACTGGATTGAGTGCCCTGAATACTGACTTGAGGGATTTGGATTTAATTTTAAAAAGCTAGCAAAACCAGCAATTTTTTATTTAGGGTCCTCTTGGAAAAGTGACCATTTTATTTTAAGACTGGTAAACTGATTGAAACTTTAGTACTTACAGTAAACTGATTAAAGCTTAGCAATCTGAAATTGTTCACTGTGCTTATCCTCTGGAAAAAATATAAAAGTACACATTTTTTTTTTATTGACTGGAGGCCCGGTGCATGAAATCCTGCACCAGAGGGGTCCCTCGACCTGGCCTGCACCCTCTTGCAATCTGGGACCCCTCGGGGAGTGTCAGATAGCCAGTTTTGGACCAATCCCTGCAGGCCTGATCCAGACAGGAGGGAGCTTGATCCTGTGCGTTGAGCGTCTGTCCCCTGGTGGTCAGTGAGCATCATAGCAACCAGTCGACCGGTTGTTCAGTTGCTTAGGCTTTTTTATATATAGATAGGCACTAGTAACTAGTGAAGACTTTGTTGTAAATTAAACATTTGAATACTATTAAAATATCAATAATGTACTTAGTGTATTTGTTAGTAATCCTTGCCACACATTAGCCAAAAATGATACCAGAGCCTCTAGGGAGTAGGAAAGGAAAAACAGTTTGAGCTTGCCTACCCAGAACACCCTGGATTAGCTGGCAGGTACTATGAAACTAATTGCTTATAAGATGATCCTAAGGTCTTCCAGTAGGTGGCTCTTCCTATCTTAAAGCAAATAGCTTAAAGGGAGACTAACAGTTGCCTGGTACAGCCATCTCTGATAGCATCTTCAGGAATGAAAATGGTGTTTTCTCTCAGCTGTGTGCCTTTGTCCCTGCTTTCATCTTACAGTGATGGGCTTTCTCCACAAAGTGATCCCTCCTCTCCTACAGAACAGTTGGCCACCTCTGTTAATGTTAATATAGTGAAGCACAATTTTATGATATTTCTCCAAAGTGGGCCTAATAATCAGGGGGGGTGTTCATTTCTCAGGGGTGCCCTGTTTGGGCTGCCTTTGTGGTTTTCTTAGACCTTTCCTGGTTTGACTTTGTTTATTTTTATTTAAGCATTGAATGAGATGGAAGACATGGTGCAAGAAGATGGAGAGATGATGGCTGAGAGTGGACATGAGACTCCAGCTCACAGTCAGGCAGTTCTTCCTGTGGATGTTGATGAGGAACAAGCAGGTAACCATGTGACTTCCCACAGTCATGGTTGTGAAAACTAGGGCCTGACTAATGAAGTAAAACACTAAGAATGGTTAATTTTTTTTTATTTTTTTACATTACAGCTAATGATATGTTATATGCTATTTATTATTGAGGACTATATTATATTTGTGTCCTCCTCACTACTTTTATATATATTTTACTAAAGTTTGCTCTTAATTTTTTGTGACTGTGACGATAACTTTATTGGCATATGCCGTGTGTGTGTGTGTGTGTGTGTGTGTGTGTGTGTGTGCGCGCGCGCTCGTGCGCGTGCACAGAGAAAGAAAGCACTCAAATTGTTAATGGGAAAATAAATGACCTGACTAAATATTTTGCTTCTCCTCTCCCTTCATTTTGGTGTTGAGGGGAAGCAGTGGAGAGTTGACCTGGTTTAGTAAATAGATACTTTTGCTCTGGTTGACTTATGGCAGGCTATAGTCAAAGGCCCCTAAAGATGATTTAATACCACCCTTCATTATGCAGTAGGGAAACTAATATTCTTTCACAAGTTTGAAAGTTTTTGTCCGTGACCACTCAGCCAGTGAGCAAGGGACAGAATTGAATTAGAACTAAAATTATTTCACTCCTGATCTATTGGAAGGCTACCTTGTCTTTGAGTTGAAAATATGTGTACACTGTTTTAAGTGTCTTATAGATGCAGTCACTTAACTAATATTGAGTGCCTATTCTTTGCCAGGAATTGCACAATGTTAACAAGAAAAAGATAGACCAGGTTCCTTGGAGCTTACATTTTATTGATGGAGCGAAAATCAGTCACTCTCCAGAGAAAATTGGCTCTGGTTTACTGTGTGTAGTGCCAAGCAGATTAAACATTTTTTACATTCCTATAAATATTCAACCAAACTGTAATGGTGCATCTAGCCTTTAGGTGCATCCAATGAGATAGATCTACATTCTGTTAAAGAATGCAGAGAGTCCCATAGATGTCTGAGGTTCATCTTCATTTCCTTTGCCTTCTTTGTACATTTGCAAAATTGGAAAAACAGCCTATTTGAAAGATGATTATCATGACTCTTATTTTGATTATATTAGCATGATTTATGTGACTTTTCCTTTTCTTTCTTTTCTTTTTTTTGTTAATTCTTACCTGAGGATATTTTTTCCATTGCTTTTCATAGAGATAGGGAGAGAGGAGAGGAGAGAGGGAGGGGGAGAAAGAGAGAGAAACATCAATGCTGAGAGAGACACACTGACTGGTTAACTCCCGCATGCACCCCAGTTGGGGGTCGGAGTGAGCCTGAAACCCAGGTAAGTGCCCTTGACCAGGAATCGAATCCAAAACCCTTTGGTATATGGGCCAATATTGTAACCATTGAGAAACACTAGCCAGGGCGACTTATGTGACATTTTCAAATAGTGAAGATCCTGTAGGGAGAGGCCATATAATCTGTTTTAATTTGTCTTTAGAAATGTATAAAGTTTTTTGACATGTTAATCATACTTAATGTTTATATAATGCTTTAGAGTTAAAGTGCTTTCACAGTATCTCATCCAAGTGTATATTCCCTTAAAATGAGTGATAAGGGAGGCTCCATAGAACAAAAGCATGTGTGTGAGCCCAGGTTCCTGGAAACAGTACTTAGAATGAGAGCTTTTCTTGGGCAAAAAAATAACTTACTCCTGTGCTTTTGTTTTAGGACCCAGTGGGCTTCAGCGTGTAGTAAAACCAACCCCAATTACTGTTCATGATTCAGAGAGTGATGATGAGGAAGATAGTCTAGAGCTCCAAGAAGTCTGGATTCCTAAGAATGGTACTCGGCGTTACTCTGAGCGGGAAGAAAAAAAGAGAGAGTCAGAGCAGTCCAGGGAATTGTCAGGTGAGAGATTTTGTCGTGCCCCGACCTACTAGGTGAGAGTCATGAGAACCGACACACATGACCTTTATTTATATCAGATGTCCCACCATGGCTTGTGGTGCAGTTCACATCTCCTTACGAAATGTGACAGGAGCAGGAAAGGCAGTAGCCCAAGTGAGAGTGGAATCGGGGTGTGCTGTCTAGGGCGAGTGGAGCACAACAAAAATATTGTGGAGTTGGGGCTCCGGGAAGAGAAGACGTGAGGACTGTGACTCCTAAGGCTTTTAGGAAGTGGAGATGTCAGGGGGTTAGGGGCTAGAGAGGGCTTAGTCAATGAGCCATCCAGAGGAATGAGCACACAGACATTCCCCAGCTCATAACCTGTCCAGTTGTGCTTACTGAATGTTGGTGGCTGGTTTGGTGCTTGGGGAGTCCTTTTGGGTATGGTCCTATAATCCCCTACCTCTTTTCAAATCTGGTCCACAGCCTTCTGCCATTTGCTTCACCAGAAAACTATAATTCTCTTAACTTTTAGGTTCGTACTTCCTTGTCTTTCCTTCCCTCTTGTTTCTCAGAACCATATGCTTACCACTTTCAGCAAAGGATGAGGTTTTAAAAATTCTCCACTCATTTTTTCTTGGGTACTCTCACCTTTATATGTTTGAATGCTTAGTTCATTATACATTTAACACAAAACCTGAAATATATATACACTTCTGTGTACGGAAAGCTCAGTTCTTGAGACTGGGGAAATTTACTCACCATTGACTAATCACACAATTCTTACTTTATGCCTTTTAAGAAATTCGATATCTTTACACTGTGGTTGAAAGGAGCTTTAATGGAAACTGAAATTAGGAGTAGTGTGACCAGCTGGTTAACTTATATCTCCTAGAAAGTTCAGTTTCTGAATGTAGAAACTAGATCTTCTGCCAGCCTGATAAAACATGATTTGTTTACATATCCTTTATATATTCATTGAGCCTTACCGTGCCCCAGGAACTGTGTTAGATGCCATGAGGGATAGAGATGGGTAAGGCATAATCTCTCTGGGGAACCTCTAGTCTGGTTGAAGTGTCAGGTCAGAAACATGTATAATAATACCACACGGAATGTATTACAGTGGTTTTGGGGGTGGGGGTGCAGAACAGATTGAACAGAGGTCCAAGGCTGAAGAATTGGTGAGAACAAAGGCCCCGAGGGAGTAAGGCAGGGGTATAGTTGGGGAAAAGTTTGGGCTGGGGTATAGGATGTATGCAGAGGGGAGAAGAATAGAATGTAAGTATGAAATCAGATCATACTGAGCCTTGAAGGCTGAGCTGAGGAGTATAAACCTAGAAAGCACTAGGAAGCCATAGAGAATTTTTGAGTAACTGAGTGATGTGGTCACCATTATACTTTAGGAAAATTAGTGTGCATTGTTTCCTGTTCCAAATTTATTCTTGCCTTTTGTCCAGAATTTGTACTGAAATCTTTTCTTTTCCTTGGGCCATTCTTCTTTTTCTATAAGCAGTAAGTGGAAAAGGCAAGACTCCACTTCGAAAGAGGTACAACTCCCATCAGATGGGCCAATCGAAGCAGTTTCCCCTCGAGGAAAGCAGCTGTGAGAAAGGCTGTCAGGTCACCAGTGAGCAGATCAAAGCCGATATGAAAGCAGCTAGGGATATTCCTGAAAAGAAAAAAAACAAGGATGTGTATCCCAGCTGCAGCAGCACCACCGCCAGCACAGTGGGAAACTCCAGCTCACTCAGCACTGCTTCTCAAAGCCCTGACTGTGTAAGGACGGTGAACAGCAGCGGCTCTTCCGAGCCTAGCCCTACAGAAGTGGATGTGTCCAGGCAGTGTGTCTGCTCCCCCGCTGGGTCAGAGGACTCTGAGGCCATGGAGGAGGGAGATGCAGAGAGTTCTGTCTGCCCCAGATGCTGCTGTCACAGGCCCCAGGAATCCCAAAGGAGAACTAGCAGGTGTTCTGATGAGGAACGTCCTTCAACCAGCCGAGCCTGTGTTGTGAATGGCCCGGATGGTACGAGATCCGCCTTTTCCTTTAGGACTCTGCCACAAGGGGGGTCTTCAGGCCCAGCACATGATGAGAGGACTAATGGGAGTGGCTCTGGGGCTACAGGTGAGGACAGGAGGGGGAGCTCCCAGCCTGAGAGCTGTGACGTGCAGTCTAATGAAGACTACCCTCGGAGGCCCCTAACAAGGGCCAGGAGCAGACTCTCCCATGTACCGCTGGTATCTGAGTCAGGTATGACAATGCTGCCAGGACTAGCAACTGCAGGTTAGGACTGGAGAAGGGCATTAGCTCATTCCATACGTTTTCCTACATAAATCCAGTGAGGCAAACTGAATTCTATGTTGGTGTTCTGTGATTCTACAGATTTTGAGCTAATTTTCAGCAGTGATTGGGGGAGGGAAGGGTGTGTAAAACAGCTTGTAAAGCATCCAACACAGGAAAACTCAGGAAGTTGTTTCTAAGAAAAAAGTATTACTGTGTATATTGACCCTAAACACAACACTGATTCTGATGTGTAAGCCCCAATGGATAACCTCTACTGCCACCCCACACACTAGGGAAGTCTCACTGTGGGTGACGTTTTGAACCTTAGCCAGAAGGTAAGGACCTGAAGTGGCTGGGGCTGTGGGAACATGTATGGATATACCCCTACATCTGCCTCTGTAGTTACCTAGTAATGTTTTCTGAAGTGTAGTTTTGTTTCTAGTTACATTTGCCAGGATATAAGCAGGTAAGTAGTTTAGCTGAGGATTATTTTGGTAAAGTTATACTCAAACATAAATGTATATAATTCCATTAATATTTATAATGTGAAAACTAAGGAATTGAGTTGGGTGGGGTGAGCACATTGCTTAGTCATAATTCTATTTATAGCAGACTTTATCTTTAAGTTATCTCTGTCTTTATTAAGTCATGTTACCTATCAATAAATAATAATATATTTTCATTTTATCCAAGTTTCCCTCAATTTCAAAATCTTACAATCCCCCCAAGACATAGAGTTGATGTTTTTTATATACTAAGTAGACCTGATTGCATCATGTGGAATTAAACTAACAAAAATAAGCTTTTATATGATAAATATGAGAACTTAATTATGTGCTAATTCTTATAGTAGCATAAACTCATATTAAAACATATATATGAGTTTTGTTTGAAGATTTCATTATGCTTTGCAAAAACTAGTTCTGTCATGACTGGCTTGAATTTTAAATGCTTTTATGATATTTTTTATGCATAATGGAATTTACCATTTTAACCTTTTTGAAGTATGCAGTTCATTGGCATTAAGCACGTTCATATTGTTGTGCAACCATCACCAGCATCCATCTGAACTTTTCATCATCCCAAATGGAAATTCTGTGCTCATACACAGAAACTCCCCATACACGGCAACTCCCCATTAAACAGAAACTCCCTATTAGGACACTTTTGTTGATAGCTTTTTTTCATTTGTAAAGTCAGATCTATGTGTTTACTTTTATGGTTTTTTCCCTTTGTTTTTATGCTATGGAAGGCCTTTCCTACAACTGTTTCAAATAATTGTTCACATCTCTGTATTTGTTTATTCATTTATTTTTTTATTATTTTAATTCTTTATTTTAATCTGTGGGAACTAACTTGATATTTTATTTCAAATTGTCACCAAGTTGTGTCAGTACTATTTATTGACATCCATTCTCATGTCATTATTTTGAAATGCTCTTTTATCTTGTACCTTTGATACACTTAAGTTTATCTCTGGGCATTCGATTCTATTCCATTGCTCTATCCTCTTTCATTATTCTTTGTCAAAATTTCTTTGACTGGTCATATTTTATCATTTACTTTTTAGAGTTGTATTTTAAAATAACTTTGTCAAGCTCTAAAAGCAAATCTTGTTTTTGTTTGGAATTCTATTACATTGATTGAAAAGATTATTGTAATTTTTGCAGCACTGAGCCTTCCTATTTGGAAACTATTACTTTGTCTCCTATTTTGTCTTATGTCTCCTGGTAAAATTTTATAGTTGTTACTGTTTTGGGAGTTTTGGTTTGTTTTGTTTTTGTTTTTAACATAGATCATTTATATTAACCGTAGGGAGATAGGGGGCTTTGCTTCATTTTGTGTGTGTTCTGCTATCCCTCTTACTATTTCCTTCTGACTTGTTTTGTGACTAGAACCTTTTCTTAGGTTAAATAATTCCCAAGAATTATTTTAAAAGAGGTTTCTTATAGCGCTTTTTACTTTTTTAAGTAAATTACATTTGTTATCGTGTTGTTTTTTATTTGAGATAACTTCTCATGTATGTAGCTGATGTGTAAATAGTAGGTTAGTTATTTTCTTTTTCTTTTTTTCCCTAAATATAATTTATTGATTTTTACAGAGAGGAAGGGAGAGGGATAGAGAGTTAAGAGAGAAACATCGATCAGCTGCCTACTGCACAACCCCCACTGGGGATCGAGCCTGCAACCAAGGTACATGCCCTTGACCAGAATCGAACCTGGGACCCTTCAGTCCGCAGGCCGATGCTCTATCCACTGAGCCAAACCAGTTAGGGCTAGGTTAATTATTTTCTAATATTTTTTACACACAATACAAATGTCCATTTACTTTCATTTTTTTAAAATTTAAGTTCTTTATTGTTGAAAGTATTATATATGCCTCCTTTGATCTCTCCCCAGATGCTCCTACCCCCCAGCGTATGCCCTCACCCCCCTACTGTCTGTGTCCATTGGTTATGCTTATATGCATGTATACAAGTCCTTTGGTTGATTATTTACTTTCAATAACAATTTTCTGGAGATATGTCAAAGTGCTGCTTTTAATACTATCCAGATCTTTTGGAAAGAAGAACAAATTATTTGGATGGCTTTCATCTTATTTTTACTCTAGTATGTTTTTTATATCTATCAGCCATCATGCTTTAAAAGTTTTAAGGAGAAAAATCCAACTCATAAAGGAACAAACTTGATTGAGTGTTTTGGATTTTTAAAAAATTACTTTAAAGAAAACATTTGAGTTTTTTACTTAAGTTTTCAATTTATGGCCTTATGTAGTGTTGAAACCATGTTAGAAGCTAATATAGTTATTTGTCTTGTGAATTCCTATTTTGATAATAAATGCCTGTAAGGTTTTTTTAATCCTCATTGTATAATACTTTGTAAAATAAATATCACAAAAATAACTAATTGAATTGTTAAAGAATAACATTTAGGATCGATATGGTATGATTCTCATAAAATACTAACTTTTTTCCTTGACACCTAACACTGGATTGGCTTGCTTTAGCAAACCAGTTGTGTTTCTGTAGCACCTTCTAACCTAGTGTTAACTACACTATGTTGTAATTCGTGTTTTACTGTCTTTCCAATAGACTATGAGCTCTATGAGGGCAGGGACAATGTCTGCTTGTTCGCTATCATATGCCCAGCTTCTAGAATAATGGGGCTCAGTGAATAATTGTGAACTTAATCAGTGGTAGGAACCATCATTTGAGGTATGTTGGTGCTGGTGGATCAGCGATTTTTAACCGGTGTGCTGCAAGAATTTTTAAAATAAGCAATACCTATTTAAATAGGGACACTGACCTCTTTTCCTAAGATTGTCAAATTAAAAATGACAACGACCAACACAGTAGCCATCTAGTGTGAATGAATCAGAATTATACCCATTTTTTTTTTTTGGTCAGGTCAGAAAAAAATATATTTTTGGTGTGCTGCAGAATTTTAGATATTAGTTTGTGTGTGTCATAAGATGAGTAAGGTTGAAAATCGCTGTGATGTATGTATGAAATCACTAACAGTTGCCCCTACGCAAAGAAGGTGGTGTAAGAAAATAACAGGGTGAACTCTGTTTTCCTTTTACATTGGGAAGCCTTTGTTTTTCAAGGTTATCGATATATAAAGTGTGATTTCGTCTTATAACTTTTCTTAGAAAACATAAACAGCCAATGTGGGCACTCTGGAGAGCAGGAAATTTAACTTTGAACCACATATTCTGATGAATTAAAGGGGAGGGGAGAGAGCGATCCAGGAACATGAGAGTTGAAAATTGGATTGTGAAAGGATAATGCTAATAGAAAATTCTCTTCTGAACACTGTCACAAAGGAATGGAAACAGACGTGCTTTTGTGTGTTTGTTCCCTTTCATTTTTGTGGTTTGGGGAGAGGGAACCAGGACCTATTATTGGTTGTAACAAGTGTGTGAATTTTGTCTGTTACGTGAATTATGCTGCCTTTAGAAGATGCCTTGTTAATGAAGATAATTAGATTTTGCACAAAGTTCCTGCAGGAATACTGTGGAAAGCGGCCTTCACTGGGTTGCCTAGATCAAGAGTTTTTATGTTTTTCCAGAACCCCTGGGCTTTGCTTGGGTTCAGGGTCATTTTAGGAAATTTGATGGGTAGAAAGAACTCTTGGATTCCCTTTTAAGCTTCATCCAAAGCAGCTGATTTCAGTTGTTTTGCATGGTAAAATTTCACAAAGTTTTCAGATGGTGGAGGAAAGGTTCTGGTATGTCAAAACACACACACTTGAACTAACTCTTTAGAGTTCCCATCTAACCCCACGCCTTTGGGAATTGGCACCTTGTTTGCCTATCTTTCTTAGTAATCTTTCATGTCTGAAGTTGAAGAATTACCAAGTGGAGTGTTGTAGTCTAGAAGTGGTGTGTGAAAGCAATATGATAGGATTTCATTTGTGAAGCTCAATCTTACTTTATCCGTGTCTCCTTTGCTACAGAATGAATATCAGAAACAAGGGCTGACTTTCCATGTCTTGTTTAGAATATATATGTGCTTATTAAGTTTTAGAGATGAATTTAGAACTCATATTTAAGATCATATTTACTTTGCAAATTAAGCAAAATGTTTTATAGCAATACTAGCAAATGAGTTAGGGCCGTGGTCAGCAAACTGCGGCTCGCGAGCCACATGCGGCTCTTTGGCCCCTTGAGTGTGGCTCTTCCACAAAATACTGACTTCTGCGCATGGGCCACGAAGTTTCAGTCGCACTGTACGTGCGTGCCCGCACGTGATATTTTGTGGAAGAGCCACACTCAAGGGGCCAAAGAGCCGCATGTGGCTCGTGAGCCGCGGTTTGCCGAGCCGCAGTTTGCCAACCACTGAGTTAGTGCCTTACCAACTAGGGTTTGGGAGATAAAGGATTACAAGTTTTCTAACATAGTGATTGCCTGAGTTTTGCTCCTGGTTCTACCAGTTACACCTTCACAAGCTTCCCATGTCTCAGTTTCTTGATTTGTAAAATAAGAATAATAAATCTCTCTCAAAGGGCTGTTGTAAGAAACCCTTAGAAAAGTGCCTGACACAGAGTAGGTGCTCAGTAAATATTTGCTATTATTATTATTATCTCACTTAGCGTATCTCTAATGCAGCGGTTGCTAATCTTTCGGACCTCACGGACCACCGGTGGTCTGCGGACCACTGGTTGGCGACTGCTCCTCTAATGCATTCATTCATTCAGTGAATGCTGAGTGCCATTCATTCAATAAATGTTCATTTTAGCTCATTGCTAATAGCTGACATTGATACAAAAATGAAATAAGACAGTAATGTTGCCTTTAAAGAGCTTTTAGTTTAAATGGAGAAACAAAACAGGTATACAGGGAATTACAGAACCCTATATAATGTTTGGGAATCCAGGTGATTTGAAAGAGCAGGTAGCATTTGAGATGGTCTTTTCAGGGATGGGTAGTATTTTCAAAAGTGAAGTCTGGAAAGTTGTTCTGGGAGAAGGAGCTAGAATGATTAATGGTGTCAGAGGCATTGGCAATGAGAGGTGATTGGATAATAGTATGGAATAAAACTGAACAGGTGGAGACAAAGCATCACTCTAAATGTCAGGCGTTGAAATGCATGTATTAATCAGTAGTCGAGAACTTACAGATGTTTAGCAGGAAACTGGTGAGTTTAATTCACCAATAATATTTCAGATGGCTTGAGTGACTAGAGATGGGAATGTTCCTTAGATTGTCAGAATGCCCCAGGGATGAAAAGGATCCTGTGTTTGAGGTAATGGAGGGCGATCTTGTTTGGGAACAGTTGGAAGTAGTGGTCTGACTGTATTCCATTGGGGACCATGTTCCTCTTGCTTTTTCTAGAGGTTGCTAAAACAAAGCCACGGCATACTATGAAGCGGAAGCGGACAGCAGATAAGTCTACCAGTACCAGTGATCCTGTGATTGAGGATGACCATGTGCAGGTGAAGAAAAAGCCCTCCCTTTCCTTTCAGGCCAGCCAGGGTCCTGAATAATGTAAAGGAACTGAAGTTTCCATCTTTATATACTTTTTTTTACTCTAAGTAGAAGAAATTGGTAACAATGGCTTCTCACTTGTGCCAGTGAAAACATTTAAGTTTTCCAAAGAAAGTACAGAAAAAGACATCTGACTTAAAAAATTTTCTCCTCTATAGGTCCTTGTGTTAAAGTCCAAAAATCTTGTTGGAGTCACTATGACCAACTGTGGAATCACAGATCTGGTGCTAAAAGACTGTCCCAAGATGATGTTCATCCATGGTATGTATTTGAGCCCATGTCATACAAGAGCATCATGAAGGAGTTTAAAGAATTAAGGACTCATAAAGGAATCATTATGTTGGATTATATCTAATTCTGTCCTCGTTCTGTAGTTCTCAGATAATTACTCAGTAGTACTTGTGAGGGGCCTGTCTCTGCCATGTGCTATCTGTGTCACGTTGGACATGTTTAGGGGGAAGCGGTAACTGGGCCGTGAGTGCCTCACTGCTCTGGAGTTGGTTGACATGATTAAACCTAACCTCAGTTCATGGCCTATTATCATTATTCCAAGCCCCGCTTTTCTTTGTAGTTCCATGTGCCCTGCCCCTCTTTGCCAATCCCACCGGCTCCCTCCATCTATGCCTGTGTATTTAATATATAGCCTTCCATGTATTTGCTTGTATACATGTTTATCTCTGAACAAATAGTAGGGTATTATTTTGTGTGAGCTTTTAAAATTCTAGGTACATAATATGTCCTTTACATGATCTGTTTATTTTTTCATTCCACTCAAAATTATATTTTTGATAGCTATCCATGTAACATTGTGAGGATCTGACTCATATCTTGCCATGGGACAGTTATATATTCTCTGTGGGTTTTTTTTTTCCCCAGTCTGTAAAGTATGCATGATTATGCTTACCTTATAAAGCACTTATGAAGGTTAAATGTAGTAATTGATATGTGGGTATGTATATGTACATAATATATGCACATACAGTAGAGGGTCTGACCTCTAGTAAAAGCCTAATAAATGTTAATTTCTATTATATTAGTATTGCAAAGAAAATAATTAGGGGCTTTCTTTTTTTTGCACTTCTTCTGTAATACTGGTAGTAAACAGAACAAGAAAATCATTTCTTGTTACTAAACATTTTGTCATAAACTAGGAGAATCTTAGAAAGGAGAAATAAAACATTTAAACACTTAACCACTCTCTTGAATTCTAGAAAACACCAGACCTGGGAACCCTAGGTTCATTTCACCCTTAACAGGTGGTACTTTTCTCTGTTCCAACCAATAAGGTCCTGAAACATCTAATCCTATATAATAAAAGGCGAATATGCTAAGTGTCCTGTCGTCTGGTCAGCCGTTCAACCAATCAAAGTGTAATATGCTAATGATATGCTAAGGTTGCTCACTTGCTCGCTCTGACATGCACTGACCACCAGGGGGCAGACGGATGACCAGTTGCTATGATGTGCACTGACTACCAGGGAGCAGATGCTCTGACCAGTAGGTGAGGTTGCTGCTGGGGTCCAGCCGATCAGGACTGACTGAGTGAGATGGGCCAGACACACCCTGAGCCCTCCCAAGGTCCCTCCCTGGCTGGCCAACCTCCCACGTCCCTCCCCAGCCCTGATCGTGCACCAGTGGGGTCCCTCGGCCTGGCCTGCACCCTCTCGCAATCCAGAACCCTTCGGGGGATGTCGGAGAGCCAGTTTCGGCCCGATGGTTGAACAACCGGTCGCTATGATGCGCACTGACCACCAAGGGGCAGGTGCTCAATGCAGGAGCTGCCCCCTGATGGTCAGTGCGCCCCCACATGGGGAGTGCTGCTCAGCCAGAAGCCAAGCTCACAGCTGATGGCAGTCAGATATCCCCTGAGGGCTCCTGGACTGCAAGAGGGCCAGGCTGAGGGACACCCCTCTCCCCCATCCCGAGCGCATGGATTTCGTGCACTGGGCCTCTAGTAAATTATAATCTACTAGGGGCCCGGTGCACGAAATTCGTGCACTGGGTGTGTGTGTGGGGGGTGGGGTGTCCCTCAGCCCAGCCTGCCCCCTCTCACATACTGGGAGCCCTCAGGCGTTGACCCCCATCACCCTCCAATCGCAGGATCGGCCCCCCGCCCAGGCCTGATGCCTCTGCTAGAGGAGTTGATCCTCATCACCCTCCGATCACCAATCACCGGATCGGCCCCTTGACCAGGCCTGAGGCCTCCGACAGAGGTGTCAGGCCTGGGCAGGGGACCCCCAGCTCCCCACGATCTCCCGCTCTGCCCCTGCCCAGGCCTAACGCCTCTGGCCGAAGCATTAGGCCTGGGCTGGGGACCCCCAGCTCCCCGCGGTTGCAGGCTCCGCCCCTGCCCAGGCCTAATGCCTCTGGCCTAGGCGTCCAGCCTGGGCAGCAGGGACCCGCAGCTGCAGCGGCCCCGCGATCGTGGGCTCCGCTTTAGGCCCAGGCAAGGGACCCCTAGCTCCCGGGACTGCCAGCTTAGATCGTGCCCAGCTCCCATCGCTGGCTCCACCCCTACTTCCTGCTATCACTGGCCAGGGCGGCAAATGCGCCTGATTCTCCGATCATGGATGGGGGGCAGGGCAAAGGCGGCCCCCAGCTCTTAGCTCCCCCCTGGGTTTCCGATCACTGTCAGTGGCAGGGGGCTTCTTCCTGCTTTCCCTTTCGCCTCCCTGCATTTTGCCTACATATGCAAATTAACCGCCATCTTGTTGGCAGTTAACTGCCAATCTTAGTTGGCAGTTAATTTGCATATAGCCCTGATTAGCCAATGAAAAGGGTAGCGTCGTACGCCAATTACCATTTTTCTCTTTTATTAGTGTAGATTGTAGTGTCCTACTAAAGTAGAACAGGAGCTCTTTAAAAGCTCAGAAGATCATAACAGCAGGGGAACCCAGCCTAGTTTAAGACAGCAGTGCTTGCAGCTTTGCCCTCTGAGGTCTGAGAATCTACCTCTCAACCCTTCTCTGGGGTTGACTTCTCATTCCTTTTTCTACTGTGAGTGCTCTGAGAATCTGACTGGTTTTCTCTGCACTTGACTTTCCCTGTATCTTTTGTGAACTTAATGATGGATCACATGACTTTCAGACTCAGCTTTTTGCCCTTAAACCAAATAGTTCTTCAGCTCCTGGGACAGAGGACCTTAGACAAGTAGCTCAGTCCCTAGACACCAGCTAAGTTATGGGGGACTGAGATGACTAAGTGAGATCAGAACCAACCTAGCCCTCTGGGTTTACAGCAGAAGACCATTGAACCCTTATCACCATCTAGTCCTCTTTCTGTCTTTCCTCCTTTCCTGTCTCCTGCCATGTCACAGAAGGAGGAAACAAGTCTGAAAGGCTGGAGACTTGCTCATTGTTCAAACATCAAGTTCATTACAGGGTCAGATTGCTCGGGACAATGATGGCATTTTGGTCAAAGGCGATACAGAAGATGCCCTTAACGAGTTAAGGTCAGGCATATCAGCCTTATAGTTTAATAGTATTTTCTCTTGAGTTGGACCGGGTTTAAATCTGGGATAAAATGGAACAGATTGAAATTTAAGATTGGAAAAAGGAAAGAGATTTGTTTTTCAATGTGGCATACTATTTTATTCCTGTACTGTTGGATACGGTAGCCACCAGCCACATGTGACTGTTGAACACTTGAACTATGGCTAGTGCTGTAGGAACTGAGTTGTTCATTTTAATTCATTTAAATTTAAATAGCTGCCGGTAGCTAGTGGCAACCACATTGGCCTGTCCAGCTTCAGACCAACATATACAAATATTGCTGGGTCTTTTAAGGTTCTGCTTTTATACCTGCGGTGGGAGTTAAAATCAACTCTTCTCATTTTCTGTGGGTGACTGTAAGGTAATATATGTCAATTATTCCAGGTTTATTTGATCATTACCCATAATATTTTAGAATTTAATATCCCATCATTCTTTTCTGTAAATGTTTCTTGAATAATTCCTATGTTTAGGCAACTCATTCTATGGGTCTTAAGATTCCTTGCCAGTAGACTCTTGGATAGGAAAAGGTACCTTAACATCCCTAGCATATATATGGGTGACCACCTTCTTTTAAACAGGATGGAATCACATTTTCAGATTATTGTGATAACTGTCAGTTGTACTTTGTGACATTACGTGACCGTTGTTAAAGATGTTTATTACATCTCTGGTATTTTATGCTAAGGAAGTTGGCCAATCCTCCAAAGATGATTCCAAGTAGGCTATACATTGCTCTATTACTTTGCATAAATTATTTGTAGAACTTACCATTGTTTTCATTTTGTAGCTACCAGGTGCAGGGTACTGAAGCATTTAAAAGTAGAAAATGCACCACTTGTAAACCGATTTGACTATGCACAATGCAAGAAACTGAACATGGATCAGGTATTAGACCAGATACTACGGATTCCTCCTGAGAGAAACCGCATCATATACCTACGCCCAATGCAGCAGGTACCAAGCTCAGCCCCTTTTTGATGACGCATGTATTGCAGTGATATTTTTTCTTCGTCTTCAACCTTTGTGGATTTGGCATGTTCATATGCTTAACCCACAGTGATGCTTCTTTAGATTCTACCGAATTATTTTAACCTAGCTAAGAGACTTTGCCGATCTTCATTCATGCTTCTCTGCTAGAGTTTTGTGGATTTTTAGCAAGTTCTGTGATGAGGGCAGTTATTACTCAACAAGACTGTTTTCAGACTGTCTGAGTCAAATCCTGGTTCACTGACTTGTAGCTGATTACTTAACTTCTGTCTTAGTTCCATCTGTAAAAGTAGAATAAAAATCTAATTCTTGTGATGGTTAATTTAGACATGTGAAGTGCTGAGCAGTTGCTGGCATGTAGTAGCAATCATTATTTTCATTATTATGAAGAGTAAACTTTTTATTGTATCTATATGAAATTATGGATGTTAGCTGAACCTATTGGGGTAATCATTTCATAATATTCGTAAACCAAGCCAACATGCTGTGTGCCTGAAATTTATACAGTGACGTGTGTCAATTATCTCTCAATAAAACAAAAAATAAAGTGAGCATTATATGTAAGACTGTGCTCAATGCGTAAAGAAAGCTGAAAGGAATCATTAAACAGTCTTTACAGTCAGTGTCAGAGTCTGGCCCCAGAAGAGAGATTTGAACAAACAAACCGCTTGTTGAGTGTCTCTAATATTCTGGGCCTGAAAAAGACACTTCCCTGAAGTCTTTCTGAGAAGGAGGTAGGTGTGAATGTCACTGAGATGGCAGAGTGGGATTTCATAAGGAGAGGTGAGGAAGAGGCGTTCCACGAGAAGAAAGCAGTGTGAGCACAGGCTGCGAGGGGGCAGGCAGCTGGAATAGGCCACAGCCAGTTTGAATAGGGCATCTGGTACTGCACACTCAGTCTATGATGCAATCAATACTTGAGCCTGTGAAGGACATACTCAGATGTGGGTTCCTGGGATCAGTTACCTAATACTGGATGCTCTGTTTAATAGGCATTTATTTAACAGAGAAATGTGCATCGCTGAGCTTGCAAGACAGAAGAATTTGCTAAGCCTCACCCCCAGCATGGCAAGCTATATTCAGGGCTGAATGTGATATTTGATTTTCAAGTCAGCCAAAGATTTTAAAATGTAGGTCCCAGGAAAGATTGTCCAAGCTCTAGGAGGTAGGGTTCTCAGGAATTCTGCTCCTGGGCCCACAGTGCACTCTGCTCCTTACATAGGTGGACACGCTGACGTTGGAGCAGAAGCTGTTCAGTGGCCCCTACCCCTACCACATCTGTATCATCCATGAGTTCAGTAACCCTCCCAATGTGCGGAACAAGGTGCGCATTCGCAGCTGGATGGACACCATAGCAAACATCAATCAGTAAGTAACCCGTGGCCCCCAGCCTCTTCAGTCGTTCCTCTTGCGAGCGAGGGCCATGGAAACAAGTCCTACTTATTCTTTATTTTAAATGATCTCATGGGGCTTTTAAGGCGCCGAAGCATGAAATGTAATGTGAGAAACTGAGGGAATGAGGACTTACACTAAAAAGCATACATGTGTATCTGCAGTTTTTTATTTTCAAATGTAAAGAAAAATTCCAAGAACAGACTGTACATGAACGTTTGACTTCATTTCTTTAACCCTAGGGCATGGAAAAAAAGGTCATGGAAAAAAAATCTTAAAACTAATGTTTTACATCATCAGAAAATTAGACTTTTTGATATATAAACATTAAGCACCACACACAAGATATTTGATTGGAGAATGGTTTCTTTACCTGATAGGATTTTGAAGATAGTGAAGAAAGTTCTTCTGACCTGACTAGATATGTATTCTCTAGTTTGAGTGTGTCCTTCTTCCGTTAGGTATTTAATATTTAATTTCTGAGATATTCATTAGAATCTAGGCCTGGCACAATTTTGACAGTTCCTTTGTACCCCACACCTCAACATTATTTCCAGATTTATAATTTTTGATTTTTCTTGTTGCCTCTAGAGAGCTCATTAAGTATGAATTCTTCCCCGAAGCCACACGAACTGAAGATGACTTGAAGAAGTACCCCAAGTACCCCTGGGGCCGAGACATCTATACTTTAGAAGGTGAGCAGTTAAATGGCTGGGAAGCTAAAGAGCTGTTAACTAACTGGATGGAGAGACATGCCTTAGCAAAGATAGGAATGGGATCCTTACAGTGAGGCAGAGTGATGGAGGCTTTGAATGTCTGCAGGTAGCAGGAACCAGGTAAAAGCTCTCTCCCAGACTGAGTCTTTACCATCCCTAAAGTAATCAGAAACTGTGTCCAAACGAAGAGTAGAAGAAAATTGAAACTTGATATAGTTTGAGAGTTGGAAGTGACTTGAGGGCACCTGTTTCAACTTCTTTATTTTATACATATAGAGAGAAAAATACTGAGGCTTAATGAAAGCAAAGGGTGAGCAAGATCCCATGACCAAGTAGGAGCAAACCAGAACTGGTCCAGTGCTTTTTCAGCCATGAAAAAGGGACAAAAGCACATTGACGTTCTGCCTACAGAATGCTGCGTGTTGCCCTGTCGTTGCCTCCACAGCAGTAGCACTGTTCATGTCTCCTTCCAGGGGTTGTGGATGGCGCTCCGTATTCCATGATTTCTGACTTCCCCTGGTTGAGATCACTACGGGCAGCAGAACCCAACAGCTTCGCCAGATATGATTTCGAAGATGATGAAGAAAGTAATTATGACCTGACTTGATTTGTGTTTGCTGGTTTGAGCGTGTCCTGCTGTGTTAGATACTTACATATCGTTTGAGAGTTGGGAGCAGTGTGGCTGTTAACTCACTTCCTATGTGAATGTTTTAATTTGTGTTGTGTTATTGCTTGGTTCTCTCCCAGCAAGAAATAATCTTACGAGGGATCTCTGAAGGTTGGTGGGAAGGATTCCTTCAGACAGATTTTTCTATCTAGATTTTTTTAATTTCCTGTTTATAATGTTGTTACTCCTTATTGTCACTTATATTATTTCAAATGTGTTCCAGTCACACTGACTATTCTTTTGCTACTTATGAGCAGCTCCTTGTTAGGTAGCATGTAGGAACTTAGGATTTAGATGGAGATGTTCAGGAGGGGGAAGAGGGGCTTGAAGGACATTTTGAATGAAGTTGTGGTTGTTAGCACACTAGAATATCTACTTGCAGGATGTTTTAAAAAACTAATTTATGAGTAAATGGGTTTTAAAAGCTCCATGTATGTCTGTGACTGACTTAGTCTCTCTAGGCATTTCCACCCCGGCCTTTAATCATGTGTGCTGCCTTAGCATCAAATGGGGCATGTAACTAAGCTGACGGGGACCCAGTCCAGGAGCTGTACCTTTCTCAATGGCAGTGCATGACCGTATAGAGGCACATCTCATGGACCAGCTTAATCAAGCGGCTTTCCAAATGCATCTGATAATAATACGTTTCCCCTTTTCTTTCTAATTTCCAAGGCACCATCTATGCTCCTCGAAGGAAAGGGCAGCTGTCAGCAGACATCTGTATGGAGACAATCGGAGAAGAAATTTCAGAGATGCGTCAGATGAAGAAGGGGGTGTTTCAGCGAGTGGTGGCAATTTTTATCCACTACTGTGATGTCAATGGAGAGCCGGTTGAAGATGACTACATTTGACTGGTCCCTCCTATTTCCCTGCTGTTTTGGCAGAGCCAGGGGCCGTACAGCTGCCAGAGAGGCCCTGGGGACTCGGGACTGCGGCTCAGTGTGTTACAGGAAATGTATAAGGAGCACTGAAGTTGTATACAAAGATTTGTACATAAGGAGCTATACAAAGACACTTCCCGAGTACCAACTGTATATCATATGTTTATACAGTTTAATTTAAAAGTTCATTTTAATGAAGGCAGATCATTGGAAGGAGTTCATTTTCTTGACTTAGTTTATAAAGTCACTGGCTGAGCCTCCATTTACTATATTCTTCATAATCATTGTCACCCCCTTAAATCTGTGCCTTTTCTTCTCGAGCGAAGCAGTTTGAGTAAATCTGTTGAAGAGTCTTTGTGTCTTGTGTGCTTTTTTTGTGCTACTATTAAGCTGAAACCCTATAGTCAGAGGTGGCTACATGTTTCTGTACAAAATTGTGGTGTTTTTTCTTTCTTGGTATTATAGTTGCCATATTTCTTAAAATCAAGTAAAAAGACTCATGAGTTTATAAAACAACTCAGTTTTGAGAGAGAAATGGGAAAGTTTCCAAAGCATTTCTAGTTATTTATTTCCACATTCAATTGTGTACATGCTTTATCTTGAATATAAAAATAAAAGTTTGCTAAAAACTTTTCTCTTGCCTTGGACCTGACTCCCTCTTTGTCAAGAAGAATAGCAAATACCATGCAGAGAAGGAATGTGCTTTGAACTGGAGGTGTGGGGGAGAAATCTTAGAAACTTTTCACGGAATCATGTACTGTATAATGATGTTTCAGTCCCAGCGAGTCACGTGTGCTCTGGCGGTCCCATAAGGTTATAATGGAGCTAAAACATTCCCGTCCCCTGGTGATGTCGGCCATCTGGTAAAATCTTAGCCCAACACGTTACCACAGTGTAAGCCCTGACTACAGAGACATCCATCTCAAAGATGGCTGAACGGGATGAGGTCTAGGAGCCAGGCCGCATCCTCCCTCTGAAGTGCCTTTGTTTTTGAGATCTTGGTTGACCAGTAACTGACCATTTGGGCTACTTGATTTTTGTCTTCCCACACTGTATATTCCTGCTCTTACAGTTTAAATTCACCATAAAGAATGAGCCCTTGAAACCCTGGGCCCCCACCCTCCAGCCCAATTAAAGCAGAACCCCAGCCCCTTGCTCTTTCCACCCTTGGACTTGCCATGTGGCCCCAAGTGTGCTGTGTGATTTCCGGGTCTTGTGATAAACCTCATCTCCAAGTTCACCTGATGGTTATTGCTGAGGGCCCTCTTGCAATCAGAAGGACCACAAGGGCCGGTCCAACCACAACACTGGTTACTGATAGGCTGAAACCTGCACAAAACAATTGTGTGGTGATGCTGGTGTAAACAACCCTGGGCTGCCGGTCTAGGAAAATCTAGTCCGTACAATTGCAGTAGTAGGGCTGTACCACCTGGATTTGTGTAAGTGCACTCTGATGTTTGCACGGTGACAATTGCCAGATGATGCATTTCTCAGAACGTAAGCCCCTCGTTAAGTGGTGCGTGACTAGAATATGTAATTATGGTCTATACTAGAGGCCCAGTATTCATGCACTCGGGAGTGTGCCTAAGCCGTCAGTCGGACATCCTTAGCGCTGCCCTGGAGGCGGGAGAGGCTCCTGCCACCTCTGCTGCACTCACTAGCCATGAGCCTGGCTTCTGGCTAAGCGCACTGACCAACTGACCACCAGGGGACAGCTTCTGCATTGAGCAGGATCTGGCCAAACCAGGCTCTCTGACATCCCCCGAGGGGTCCCAGATTGCGAGAGGGCACAGGCCAGGCCGAGGGACCCCACCAGTGCATGCTCACCAGGCCAGGGAGGGTAGGAGATTGGCCAGCTGGGGAGGGACCGCAGGAGGGCTCCAGGGCATGTCCGGCCCATCTCGCTCAGTGGCTGGACCCCAGCAGCAAGCTAACCTACCAGAGTTCCCCCTGGTGGTCAGTGCATGTCACAGCAAGTGGTTGAGTGGCCTTAGAATATCATTAGCATATTGCACTTTGGTTGATTGAATGGCCGACCAGACGACCGGACACTTAACATATTAGGCTTTTGTTATATAGGATGAGGGGTAAGGGCCCTGAGAGCTTATGTAGTCCAACCCCCTCATTTACAGGCGATAACTGAAGGCCAAGGAGGGGAAAGCTCACCGATGGTCAGGAGCTGGGTAAGGCCAGGTAGCACAAGAACCTAAGTACCTGACTCCCAGGGGCTGCCTTTATCTCATGTCCACAGAAATGAAGGGTGCCAGCAAGTTTTCCTGACACTAAATAGTGTGAATGATAATCAGTGTCTTTCTGTAAAAGTCTTTTCCAAGGCTTTTAAAATTCTTCCTATTACATTAGGAAGGATGTTAGGCACAGCATTCAGTCATCTCTTTAGTACCTTGCTTTTAACTCAGCTAACCTTCCTTTTAACTAAGTGTGTTCCATTCTCCAGGTTAGAACGGTGATCAGTAAAAGACTGGAAAAAATATAGAACATTCTAGATGCTTCAAGATAATACAAACCCCCAACCTTCATTTTAAGATTAAATCCAAACCTCATTTTTCACTGTCCCCAAATAATCTAACTCAGCAATTTTCAACCTTTTTCCTCTCATGGAACACATATACTACTAAATTCTGTGGCATACCAAAAAAATCTATTTTTGCAGATCTGACCCCAAAAAAGGTATACTTTGGGTTCATTCATACGGGACAGCTATTGTTGTGTTGGCTCTTGTCATTTTTTTTAACTTGACAGTTGAAGGGAAAAGAGGTCCGAGACCCTGACTAAATAGTCAGATATTGCATGTTTTAAAAAAATATTTTTATATGTTTTTATTTCAGAGAGAAGAAGGGAGAGGGAGAGAGAGATAGAAAGATCAATGATAAGAGAATCATTGGTCAGCTGCCTCCTGCACGCCACGAGGGATCGAGCCTGCAACCTGGGCATGTGCCCCGACAGGGAATCAAGCATGACCTCTTTCCTGTTTCTTGGGTCAGTGCCCAACCACTGTGTGAAAATCGCGGCTCTAACTAATGCTTAGAGGAGCCACTAGAGGTCGCTGCTTTCTAACTTTTGTTGATCTGTCTCACTTAATGCACTGTTAGAACAAGTACAGCAGGGGGCGCTGAAGTCATTCTACAGCTGCCCAGACTGGACCAACTGAAAACACCGAATTTGGAAGACACATACTATAGAAGGCTTTTGGTAGATGTCTATGGAATGAATGGCTGGATAGTGATTGCCTAACAGCAGGATCAGCACACTTTTTCTGTAGAGAGCCAGATAGTAAATATTTTTATCTCAGTTGTGACAACTGCTCAACTCAGCTCTTGTGTGAAAGCAGCCATAGAGGATCCATCAACAAATGGGTGTGGTTGTGTTACAACAAAACTTTATTTATGGACACAAATTTGAACTGCACATAATTTTCACACATCACAAAATACTTTTTGATTTGTTTCCAACCACTTAAAAAAAGTAAAAGCCATCTTTCGTTTACAGACTGGAGGATTTGCCGACATCAGAGAACCAAGTCATCCTGCATCCTTTAAGGATGTGGAGCTGGCACATTTTTAAAAGGCCTTAGGGCAGTGGTTCTCAACCTTCTGGCCCTTTAAATACAGTTCCTCATGTTGTGACCCAACCATAGAATTATTTTCGTTGCTACTTCATAACCGTAATGTTGCTACTGTTATGAATCGTAATGTAAATATCTGATATGCAGGATGGTCTTAGGCGACCCCTGTGAAAGGGTCGTTCGACTGCCAAAAGGGTCGCGACCCACAGGTTGAGAACCACTGCCTTAGGGAATGTTTCATGGATGGATTCGTGAATTAGTGTGAATGTTAGAGAAAGAATCAGGTTTCTCTCACAGTGTGGCCAGGTGTGTGAGTCGTAATTTCTCTAATTAAGAGCAGGTACCACAGTTCTTACAGGGACTCCGCATTTGGATTCAGAAGGCCTGGGTTCAGATTCTGATACCCTCAGCTGACTGCTGGGTGACTTGGAGATGGTCACAAGCCTGACTCTGGAGCCTCAGTGTCCTCAGCTGTAAAATGGTTAACGGTGAATAGGTAATATGCCCACTGCACAGGGCAGTCACGAAGGCCCGAGAGCTGTCAGCACACTGGAAAGTGTGACGGGTGAAGGTGGTATCACTCCATGGTCACCCCCTTTATTAGAAAGGTTTTCTGTTTTTCTAGTCTTTCCATAACCTTCGGTTCCTTTGACCATATACCAGGACGGTAGGAAGCAGAGAGAACTGGTGAGGCCATTAAGAGGAAATGATGATACTACGAAAGCATGTTTAAAAGCATTTACCAAGTGCTTCTATACATCCTCATACTAACACTTCAAAATATGTCTGGCTATTATGGCCTCCACTTTACTGTTGGGGAAATTAGGGTTGAGCGGGTTAAAAATCTGGCTCAAAAACTCAAATCTAGGAAGCGGTGGAAGCAGGAAGTGGCAGTCTGACCCCAAAGCCTGTGCAACTTGAGCAAATTGTCCCAGCCCCTCAAAGGGAGGAAGGAGGCCCGGGAGCCATATAAGGGCCGCCCTCCCCTCAGCGAAGCTGCCAAGTCAGAGCTGCTGCTGCCTCTTAAACTTGAAACCACCCAGCTGACCTTCAGATGGTCAGCATAGGCCCAGAAAGAGGCGGCGGCTGCTCTCCTGATGCCTCCAGTGCCCTCTCAGACACGGGGTACAGCTACAACATGAGCGACAACACTGCAATCTACACAACGTCTATCCCATTAAGCTCACACAGGGCAACTAAAGAGAATGAAGATTCACGTGTTGATGTGAAATGATGTTGAAAAAGGCAATTTGCAGAGTATTTAATACAGTCTCATCTTATTTCTATAGAAGAACAAAACAAAACCTTATACTTTTATGTTTCCATTTCTACCCGTGTATGTGCACTGACACATTCTTGAATGATATAAGCCAGCAGTAACAGCAATTACTTTTGGAGTCAAAGGGTATTTTATTGTATTTATATTATTAGAAATTTTTGTAATGAGAATGGACTGCAGAAATACATTATGTGTATAACCCCTCATTTACATAGCCCCCAAATATAGAATTTTCATATTTAGAAATGAAATAAATTTAAAGTAGAGGAGGAAGGAAACACTGTTAGACTGGAGTGACCGGCAGTGTTTCAGTCTTGACTTCTGTCCCATATATGCTGTGTCCTTGGGCAAATCACCGTTCCTGCAAAGTCTGTTTCCTCTTCTATGAAATAAAGTCAATAATCTACCCACCCAAGCTGCTGTGCGAGGCTCAGAGATCTTGGGTAGGTACAGAGACCGCTGAGGGCCTGTGATACCGCTGTAATTAGCTA